GTCAGTGCAATTGTCAACATACTCCTCTCCATTTTGGTTGTTGGTGAAGGGCTCTATGCTTGGAAGCTGTTTGACATCACCTGCACCTATTACAATCAAATGAGGGTTTTCATTGCAAAAACTCTTACCTTATTCAAGATATAAGGACTTGACCTATAGATTTCATCAAAAAAGATTACATCATAACTGCTGTAATCATACTTTGGTAGCCTGCTTTCCCCCTTACAGACAGGAACACTGCTGAAGAATGTATTTTGGGTGACTGCATCGCATGGAACATCTTGCTTTTGCATATTTTGAGGAACAACAAAAAGTGTATTACAACTTAGGTCGTTGAAATGTTTTCCAATGAAACTCTTACCACTTCCTGCCAATTTTGCCCTAATCATGACTCTCTTCCTCCTTATTGCTGTTTTACAAATTGCTTCTGTGTCCCATTCATCTTGAACCTCAATCCTTTCGGTTTTGTAAATCGGTATTTTTGGAATCTCGTTGTTTTTCCATCCATAGACTTCGGGAACAGGAACAACTTTCTTATCTTCCACTCTCCAGCCTCCTATGTCATTAGGAAAATTCAATTTTTTTTTAGCTTTCTTTAAAAACCTCTTTGCTATGTGAAAGGCATCAGTCTTTACAGCGTAAACATTGATGTCTGCCTCCTTCAACTTCTCATATGCATCATACATATGAAAGTTATGGTTTTGTAACAGTAGCTCTTTGATATACCTAAATCCGTTCATCAACTGCCTTTGGTCACTGACACTGACTATAATATTTGGCGGTCTCGCTTTTCTTCTTTATCTTTTGGTTGAATGAATCATTTCACAGTAGTAGGTTTTGCCATCCTCGGCTTCAAAATCAAAATCTGTATAACATGCACCGGCATTCACATGTCTAAAAAAAGTTTGTTGTTCTCATCAACTTCGATAGTCCAATCTTCTTCTAATTCTCTCAATCTATAATATTCCTCATACTCTTCTTCGTTCATTACGTAAATCCTCCCATGATATTTTTTCTGGTGCTGTAATGCCTGCTTAAGATTATCAAAACTCCTACTGACCGTTTTTCTATTGTAAGACTTCTCAAGCAAACCAAAGGCTACATTAGCAATAGTTTTCAATATTTTTTTGATTCTCAAACTTGTCATCACTAATCAATGTTTTATATAAATCTTCAACCGCTTTCTTATACTTCACTCTGTGAATGTATGGAGGTATTTTGTAAAATAGTATCTTCATTGCCACCCCTCTCTTAATCAATTCCTTCAGGTGCTTCCCATACACCAGATCATTTTTTTGTTAAAAAAGACGCTGCCCTGACATGCCCTCACTATGAACAAGGTGTAGTTATTGAATTTGTTAAAATCATCTTTTTTGGTGTATGGCTTCCATACATCAAACTCTTTGAACACTGGAATGTGTGTAATCTTTGTTGCTTGGTATGAGTAGGCTTTCCGTGTGTCGATGCTACACGTATCTTCAGGGGCAAGGGCAAGTTCATAGCCCTTGCTATCATAGTTTTTTGCCTTTAACAACCTTCCATTAGGAACAATGGTTCTGCATTCATCCAATGCTTTAAGGTCAGTTTCGTTATAGGATGACTTATGATTTTCACTGAAAATTGACTTATGAAACTTGAACATTGTCGTGCTGACTTTGTTGTATTTTTCCTCTGTTTCCACCAAGATATCATCATTGATTCTATCACGGTCAAGGTGCTGTGTTACAATGCTGTAGGTTACCGTTTTCTGTTTCTTGCCTATCTTGTGTGTTAAATCAAACTTGGTTTCTACTGCCCTACCTGCTGTGTGCCTAACCTGTGGTTCATATCCTGCTCTTTTCATTTCATAAATTGTTTTGTCCAAATCATTGTTTTTTAAAACTAATTTGTATTCCTCTTGATCCTTTAAACTCATCACATCATCGATGCCATCAGTCATTTTGTATTTAAGAGGCTTTTCCCTGTTGTTGATGTAATAGTTGTTTCCAATCCTGAACTTGTAGAGTTTATCACCACTCTCTTTCCTTTTAAGTGATGTCAGGTTATGCTTCAAAGTGTATACTGTATGTGGCTGTTCTTAATCAATCCGTTGAAGTTATGTAGCTATGGCAGTTGAAGTTTACAGGGTTATGTTTGTAAATCAAGTTGCTGTCAATATCATATATATATAATCTTGCTAGGATATTGAAATGTTTAAAAACTTTATCCATTTCATTGATTGATGACTCTGCCGCAGCCACTCAGCCACTCCAGCCACTCAGCCACTCTGCCAGAGTGGCTGACGCAGCCACTCAGCCACTCAGCCACTCTGAGTGACTGAGTGGCTGAGTGGCTGCTCGAGTGGCTGAGCGGCTGAGTGGCTGAGTGGCTGAGTGGCTGGGGTGAAAATTTCCGCCATTGTTGTTCAATGTTCTTGGAACCTTGCCTGGGCAACTGTTCTTGGACACGTCGCTTGACACTTGTTTATCGGAACCTTGCTTGGGAACCTGTTCTTGGGAGCCTTGCTTGGGAACCTGTTCTTGGGGGCCTATTCTTAGGAACCTACTCTTGGGAGCATTGTCTGGTAACCTGTTCTTGGGAACTCTCTCTTGGGAACCTGTTCTTGGAAACTTTGCCTGCTTGCTTCAAACCTGTTCATTGGGACCTTGCTCGGGAACCCGTTTTTCGTAACTTTGCTTGGGAACCTTGTTTAGGCACCTGTCCTTCGGAACCTTGCTTGGGATTCTGGTCTTGCTTCCAACCTTGCTTGCAGATGTTCTTCGAAATTTCGCTTTGCAAGTTGTTCTTGGAAAGCTGTTCCTGTGAACATGAGCAACCTGAAATCATGCTTGGGAACGTGTTCGTGGGAACCGTGCTGGCAACCTATTGCTCGGAACCTTCCTAGAGAATTTGTTCTTGGAACCCGAACCTGTTCTTGGGAACCTGTTCTTCGAACCCTTGCTTGGGAACCTGTTCTTGCGAAGAATGCTTGCAAACCTGTCCTTGGGAACCTTACTTGGGGACCTGTTCGTGGAAACTTTGCTTGGGAACCTGTTCCCAAGGACCTTGTGGTAACCTGGCTACCCTGCAAGGAAACCTGTTCTTGGAACCTTTGCTTGGGAACTTGAGGCACTGTTCTTGGAACCCTTGCTTGTGAACCTGTTCTTGCGAACCTTGCTTGGGAACCTGGTCTTGCGAACCTTGCTTGGAAACCTGTTCCCAGGAACCTTGCCTGGAAACCCCTTGCTTGCGAACCTATTCTTGGAACCTGTTTTGCAACCTTTTCTTGGAAACCTGTTCCTGGGAACCTTGCTTGGACACCTCTTCCTGGGAACCCTTGCTTGGGAACCTCTTCCTGGGAAGGGAACCTCTTCCTGGTAAGGGAACCTCTTGCTGGGAACTTTTGCTTGGAAATCGTTCCTGGTAACCTTGCTTGCGAACCTGTGTCTGGAAAATTTGATTGGAAATCTTGTTCTTGGGGTGGCTGAAGCCCCCAAGCAAGTTCCCAGGAAGAGGCTCCCAAGCAGGTATCCAGGGAGAGGTTCCCAAGCAAGGTGAAGTTCTTAGGAACCGCTTGCAAGTACGGTTCCCAAAAACGGTTAACCGTTTCCAAGCAAGGTTCCAAGCAGGAACAAGGCTCGCAGGAGCAGGTTCTCAAGCAAGCGTTCCCAGGAAGAGCTGGTTCCAAAGCAAAATTTCCAGGAGCAACTGGGAACCATTGCTTGCGAACCTCTTCCTGGGAACCTTGCTTGCGAACCTCTTCCTAGCAACCTTGCTCGAGAAGCTGTTCCTGGGAACCTTGCTTGGGAACCTTTTCCTGGAAACATTGCCTGGGAACTTTTTCTGGGAACCTTACTTGTGAACCTGTTCTTGGGAAACTTGTTTGGGAATCTGTTCCTGGGAACCTGTTGCTGGGAACCTTGCTTGGGAACCTCTTCCTGGGAACCCTGCTTGGGAACGCGCTTGGGAACCTTACTTGTGAACCTGTTCTTGGGAACCTTGTATGGGCACCTGTTCCTGGGAACCTGTGGCTGGGAGTCTTGCCTGGGAACCTGAATTGCTTGGGAACCAGCTTGCTGGGAACCTTGCTTGGACACCTCTTCCTGGAAACCTCTTCCTGGAAACACTTGTTTGAAAACCTGTTCTGGGAACCTTGTTTTGCTTGGAAAAACATGTTCCTGGAAATCTTGCTTGGGAAATTTGCTGGGAACCTTGCTTGGACACCTCTTCCTGGAAACCTTGCGAACGGTTCCTGAAATCCGTGCTTGCAAAACCTGTTCCTGGGAACCTTGCTTTGGAACCAGTTCGTGGAAACCTCTTCCTGGGAACCCTTGCTTGGGAACCTCTTCCTGAGAACCTTGCTTGGGAACCTCTTCCTGGGAACCCTTGAGAACCTTGCTTGAGAACCTCTTCCTGGGAACCCTTGCTTGGGAACCTCTTGCTGGGAACCCTTGCTTGGGAGTCTGTTCCTGGTAACCTTGCCCGGGAAGCTTGCTTGGGAACCTTGCTGGGAACCTCTTCCTGTGAACCTTGCTTGGGAACCTTGCTGGGAACCTCTTCCTGTGAACCTTGCTTGGGAACTTTGCTTGGGAACCTGTTCCTGGGAACCTTGCTTGGGAACCTCTTGCTGGGAACCCTTGCTTGGGAACCTGTTCCTGGGAACCTCTTGGGAAACTTACTTGGGAACCTGTTCCTGGGAACCTTGCTTGGAAACCTTGCTTGGGAACCTCTTCCTGGGAACGTTGCTTGGGAACCTCTTCCTGGGAACCCGGTTCCCAACCTTGGGCCGTGCGGATTTGGCTGCTTCGAGGGATTCTCTTGGAAAAGGAAATCCTTCCTGGGAACCCGGTTCCCAACCTTGCGCTGTGCGAATTTGGCTGCTCCGACCTGCTCCGACCTGCTCCGGAACCTTTACTATGGCTGTAGACCCCAAGCTTACGCTGTTGGGGAAAAAAAAACACAGCTCAATCCACAGGCTTTTCACCTTCGACAACTACGTCGGTCTCCCTTGGGACTCTCACCCAATGTCCAGCACGGTTGAGTGCAGCAATGCACGAGTTGAAGCTTCTCACCTTCGGTGAGTTTCAGTGCGGACATGAAAATCAATGACTCCTAGATGCACATAGAAAAAATGAAGAAAGCAAGCACTGAATTGTCTGAATTCTTGTCTGAAAACTGATCATATGAGGCCTAAAACCTCAGATTCAATATCCAACTGTGGAAGGAATCCACCATCAAAAGGATGGTTAAAATTGAAACATGTTGAAACCCTAGTGGGATGTTTACCACCAACAATCACTCGATTTCTCGATGTCGGCCTCCGGAGTCAAGCTGACCTGGAGTGACAGACATTTGAGCCCTGTGATCCAGTCTGCAGGGTGGTGGATTGCCAAAAATGCCAAGAACTTTAGGGAAACTTCCAGAAAATGTTCAGAAAACTGTCCGAAAACTTTCCGAAAGACCCGATTCCTCAGATACGGAGGTCACAAGTCAATAAAAGTCATGGATCCACCGGCCATTGCCAAACCCCAACGAAGCCAGGCAGCCATGACCAACAACATCCGGAGCCCACCTCTTGCAGCCTGTCCCAACACTGGATCGAGCTCTGCCACCTGAGAACTTAACCGAAGATGACCCATCTGGGTATTGGTCAGACTTGGTTGCTACATGTATATACTACATGTTACTCCGATAAATGTCATGTACCCATCCCCGTCTGGGTCGCTGACCTGGTACCCCGTTCACAGGCGCTAATCGCTGCGTTGTATGAAATGGTGTCAAGTCTGACTGACAATGAGATAGCCACCTTCCATGAGCATTGCAACAGCCCGACATGGCTGAAAGGGAAAGGTCATCTGCAATATTCTGCCAGCCTTCATCAGCGATGCAACGACAACCTTACAGAATCAGCACCATTGAGAAGATCTGACAATAGCATCTGGAAGAACAAACCATTCTACTTCGTTCTTGATGCTTTTCCAACTCAGAAAAGTAGGCTCCACCAAGGCAGTTCAAAACATGAAACGAGTATCAATGAGTTATATCAACTTTGAGCTGGCTGTGAGGCTTCATGAGGCTTCACCATTTGCCACTCGAAACTGGATCTCTTTTCAGATCCGAACTTCTGGAGAAGCGCGAATGAGAGAACTGCACATCAGGGCATTTCTGTGGACCTGACATTCTCAGCTGCAGAGCTCAGGAACGTCAGGAATCATGAAAAAAGAACAGGTCAGCAAGTCTTCGAGCACACAGTTGAATTCATTTGCTGGCAGAGCCTCATTATCTTCCAGGAATAAATGCAAAGCCTGCATTCTGCTGGCAAGTTGAATGAAAGTCCAATGTTCTTGTCCAACCCAAAGGTCTCTGAAGTGGAAAGCTGTGACATGAGCAAGATTGCGGCCTCCTGCCATTTCTTCGCACGACTACAAGCAGAGATCACCTTGGCCGCAAGAAAGCTATTGCTGAAGCCAATATCGCCTGCACCATCAATAGACTGAGAAGTTTGACTCCAACAAGGGAGGCTCTTCGAAGCCAGCGTGTTTCTGTCCAGGGCACAAAACTGAAAAACAGAGGTTGCAGGGTTCTAAGATGTGTGCTGCTCCAAGCAGTTTGGGATTTGAAGAGAAACGAGCCTCCCGGCAGAGCTGCCAAGACTGCAAGTTTGATTTCATTAAAGGAGATTGCCCGAGACCCACTTCGAAGGAAGTCATCTGAAACCTCTTTCAATGCATTGGAGCGATCATCAACGCTCATTAATCCTCCAAAAGATCCTCCACAGGATCCAAGTCCCAAAGAGCTGTTCCCCGCCTTTGCTTCATCAAACAAATGCAAGGCCCATGTCCAGGGAACGCCATTTTGGCCCCGACTGCAGGCACCTCAGACGATTTCGATTTCAGTTTGAGATTCCGACCCGGCCTACCCGGCCTACCCGGTCTGAGACTGGCGCTAATGGCAGCCCCAAAGGCGACAATATCCAGGTCTCGGAGAGCGTGACAAGCGGTGGATCTTGGGGAAACATGTTGAATCTTGGAGAACATTCGATACACAAACAGTTACGACTTTTTGTACAAGATATGAGATCTTTCCAGATATCCCAAAACATCAACAACCATCAAGAAAGCTCATCCTATCTTACCCCAACACTGATGCATTCGAGATGCTCTCTGCTCCTGCCAGCAGATGGAGAGCCTGGTCCCAGGCACTTTGCAAGCCTCATTTTGCTTTCCAGGCTCTGAGTCAAGTCATTGGGATACCAATGGACCTGCAAGTTTTGTCATTCTGTGAGCATTACCTTGGGGCAAACTAACATAGATGGGGGAAAAAAAACATGGTTTCGCGGTTGTAGAATGATCCACAAATGGCGGGTTTTCCAGCCATTTTTTTCAGGTCCAATATTTCGACCCGTGGATGGTCCATCCTCCTGGGAGCCACACCCAACTTCTTTACCTGTGGAAGAAATGAAACAACTTGGGGTGTCCGGATGATCATGGGCATAACCAGGGTTTTTACCCCCATAACTTGGGATTCAACCGCGACTTATCATGGCCATATGGGTGTTCCATGAAGTTTGGGTTCCCCAAACCATTGATTTCCTTATTGATAATGAGCAATTTTGGATGATTTCCGGGTCAAAATCCCGTATACCCAAGCAAATCAAGTGGAACTGCACCCACTCCAGGCCTGCTGGGTCAATACATCCAATGACCCAGGCTCTTTGTGCACCATGCCGAAACGACATCGTGGGCCCCATGCAGCCACACTGCAGTGTGAACAACATCGTGGGCCAAGCACTTTGGCTTTGACTATGTCTCCAAACACCAAGAAAACAAGAAGCAAAGCAGGCAGCTGCAGTGACTGCAGGTCGTGTTGAGTTCCTTGGATCCCTGAGTATCAAATTTGAAACCAGAAACTCATTCTGCTCAATCCTCTGTTGCAGCTGCTAACCAGAAGCTTCAAAAAAAGCTTTAAAAGCCTTCCTACCTTGAGCCTGACATCAGCTGCACCTGCTATGGAGGACAATTTGTCTACGCAAACATGGCACATCTACTTTATGCAGTTAGGGTTACAACCGTAGCTACAACCATGGCAACAACCCTCATAAGTTGAGATATGATCCCACTAGATAAAGATAATGACTATGTAAAGTTGTATATCCACCTATAACTGGCATGGTCCCACAGTTTTGGTCATGGCATATAAAGCGCCATGGCTGGAGGCACTGCCAGCACCACTTCCTGGTAACCTCAGCGTCAGCATCAAAGGAATCATGAGATTTCACAGCCAATAGCTGGATGGTTTATAATGGAAAATCCCATTGCAATGGATGATAAAAATGGTGGTAGCCCTATTTTAGGACACCCTAAAATGTTTCAGTGAGGCACATCAACTCACAAGCCAAAGACTTGGATCCGGGGCTGGAGCTGAGAACAACTGGCATGAAACAGGGACAGCAGCACCATTCCAGTGTCCAGACCAAGATTGGCCAGCAAGAACGCCTGAGCACCAAATGTGAGGCACAACTTGGGTCTGAACATCAATTGCGTTCCCCTCTGCTGAACTATTCAGTCCCAAATTTTGGAATACATGTTGGGTTTCAAGCAGACAGGGTCAGAGTATATGCAGGTTTAGAAAGGTATGTTCGCCAAGCACTTGGTCAAGGAAACTACCTTGTACCAGTGGATGATTTAGGTTCACTGTCATTCATTGTCATTCATGTTCATTCATGGTTCATGCAAAGTGTCACATAAGTGGCTATAATTATGTATATATATATATATATACAGTATACATATCTATACACATATATATATACAGTAATATGTACTGTATAGAGAGAGAGAGAGAGATTGAGAGAGAGCAAGATAATTACACTACAATTTTAAATTTTAAACGTATCCATCACAAAGCACCATGCAATATGTGCTCAGGATCGCACAAGGTACAGCCGGAGATGTGTTTCCGCTTCATGCCTTCGATTTCGCAAAGGAACGACTGCAGCTGATGGAAGCGTTTTTCAAAACACCTCTTAGGCCCTGACAAAACACCTGACCATCCACAGGCAATGAACGGGATGCTTGCCAAGGCACAGAAGAGGTTAAAGGCCTGGAAAAATGGAAATCCACGCAACCCTGCGGCATGATGCCTGGTTTCAAAAAAGATGGGGAAGGCCTCGGATGATGGGGAAGTCTCCGCAACCCTCAAAATATCTCAAGTGCAGGCAACATGTCAATGTCTAGACTGCTCTCCAGAACCAATTCGATTCGATCAACCACAGTCTCGACTTACAAATAAATTCAAGGCATTCTGAACCTCAAATTTCATATATTGAATCATACTTTTGTGCCATCTGTTTTAATTTTGCTACACCTTGGGCTCTCTGAGACTGCGGCACTTTGGCTTCCAGGACAAAGCTATTCGACACGCTCAAGACGTCATAGGCACAACTCAACTCAGAAGTAGCATCCGCCATTGGTTGAGCAACCACCCGGCGGAGTATTCCAAGCAACTGGAAGCGCATTTTGGAAGGAACAAAAGAAGTATAGATGTACAAATGTACATGTGTAAATACATATGTACAAACAAACAAACAAACAAACAAACCTACCTACCTACCTACCTAACATACATTACAAACATTACTTACAACACATACATTACATACATTACATACATTGCATACACTACATACATTACATTCATTACATACATTACATCCATTACATCCATTGCATGCATTACATCCATTACATCCATTACATCCATTACATCCATTACATACACTACATGCACTACATGCATTACATACATTACATGCATTACATGCATTACATACATTACACGCATTACATGCATTCCATACATTACATACATTACATACATTACATACATTTCATACATCACATACATTACAAAAATTACATTACATTCTTACATTCATACATACATACATACATAGCATAACATACGTAACAGAACTTTACATTACACTTCAGTACATTACATATATATATACACATACACACACATACACATACACATACACATACACATACACATACACATACACATACACATACATATACATATACATACATGTATATATATACATATATATACATATGCATTTATCGATATGCATTAATAGATGTGTATATAAATACATCCATACATACATACATACATGCATACATACATACAATTACATACAATTACAAACATACATACATACATACATACATACACACATACCCCTACCTACCTACCTACCTACCTGCCTACGTACCTACCTACCTACCTACCTACCTACATACATACATACATTACTTACATACGTACATACATACACACATACATACATCATTACATACATACATACATACATACCATACCATGCCATGCCATACCATACCATACCATACAATACATTACAATACAATACAGTACAATATAATACAATATAATACAATACATACAATACAATACAATACCATACAATACCATACCATACCATACCATACCATACCATACATACAATACGTACAATACATACAATACATACAATACATAAAATACATACAATACATACAATACATACAATACATACCATACATACCATACATACCATACATACCATACATACATACATACATACATACATACATACATTACGTTACATTACATTACACTATCTTACATTACATTACATTACATTTCATATACATTTATTTATATACATATTTACAATATATATATATTCTTTAGACATAGACAAAGATATATATATATATGTATAACAAATGCTGCAGGTGTGTATGTTGCAGACCTTCCCACCCACCAAGCTCTCGCTATTTTGCGGGTTGGCCTTGGTTGTCTGCCTCGGCGGCTGTACTGTCAGACCTTTGCCTGACATCTTCTTCTTGCTTGTTCAGCTCACCTTTGCCATTCTCGAGCTCCTTTGACTCTGTCGCGCGCCTTCTCTAATTTGAAGCATTTCTTGCATTCCAGGGCTGACTTCTGTGGGTGTTGTGTCAACTCCACCTTGACGTTCCGTTTCGCAAAGTTCCATGGCGTTGCCAACGCTTTTGCCATTCTTGCTCAAAGGCGGAAAGGACTTCCCTGGGGTTACCAACAACACTCTGGAAACTAACGGTGGGGCCTATTGCAGCAGCTACGGAAGAGTCTACGACAACACTGTGGGGATTAATGGTTGTGACAGCAACCGGAACTCCTTGCGCCTGGACACATGTGACACTGTCAGGCAGAGGGGCTGCAAGGTGGAGCTCAACCTTCTCTGTCTGGTGAACATCTTGGCTTGAGACTACCGGTATTTCTTGGGTCTGGACAATGGTCTGCACTGGTTCGGCCCTTTCCCTTTGGAGGTCTCTGTAGATCAGCAAGGGGTCCTCGACTCGGCGCTGAGTAGCATGCATGGATCTGGCCTGCATCAAGCTGGACTCAAGAGACCTATAATGCCTTGAAAACTCAAGAAAAATGGCATGTGCCAAGGTTGGTTCTGGAGGGCATCGCGGCAAAACTGAGGGTGTGTCAACAAAGGCTTTATGTGCATTGATCCACCAATGGCAAAAACCACCGTGAAAACCAGGTGCACGTAGGATTTTTCCCCACAAACACGCTCGATGCTCTGCATGGGTCAGTGAGTCAGGGCAATTGGGGCATCTTGCAAAATGTTCCAAGCGTCGGACTTGCTTTGTCCATCTACAGTGTTGCATGGTTGAGGCGGCAAGTTGGGACTGGATGTCCCCCCGTCTATTGGGTTTGACTGGGGTGGTCTGCTGGATCGACCACTTAACTTCTGTGGTTGTGGCCCGCCCGCATTGATGTGGCTGCAGTGGTGGTTTATTATTGGTTGTGAGCAGCTTGTCTGCGTAGCGTTCAACGTTCTTCCAAATGTTGGCATACCAAGCATCCATGTCCTGAGACTGTGCTGCATGAAAGGGCCAATCCACTTGCTTACATTGTTGTTGATTGGGCCACTCAAATTGGGACGGCTTGCGCCACATCGGAACAAGTGGCGGGGCTGCCAAATCTGAAAGATATACCAACAGGACGGCGTGATCAGCAAAACAAGACCAGTCCAACTCTACGGCAGTGACATATGGTAACACTTCGGGAGACAGGAACATGAAGTCCTTGACTGTGGTATGTTTGCAAGTGGCACCAATGGGTGTGGACCACCTGCGGCAAGCAAAGGTTTGAGCCTCCATCCACCCTTGTGCCTCCCAGTATGATGCTTGGGGGATATTGTTGCGGTCAAGGTTCCAATCCCCTGAAATACAACGAAGACCTCTTGCGCCATCCACGATTCTGGTGGTCAAACCGTGCAGAAGGTCACCTGTATGCTGTTGGACTTCAACCGTGTGGGACTTTTCATTGTAGCCATAGACGGTACCCATGGTCAGCCATCGCTGGTTGACAAAGGCAGTAGCTGCCAAGCATCTGCCTGCCCAGCTATCTAAGGGGATTCCCCACGCCGCTTGGCCAACTATATGTTTCGTCAGCTTCCCTCGTGCTTTCGACATGGCAAAGACTTGATCTGCTTGCTTCTGATCGAGCAGAGGCTTTGCTTCGAGAACTTGTTCTCCTGGAGGGCTGTCTCGCTTTGGGGCTGCTGATGACTGTGGTCTCAATGCTCTCTTTCTTTCCCTTTCCCTCTTTCCGTCATCTGGCTGACGGCTTGTCTCTGTTTTGGCTTCACTGTTCATCGGGATCTCTGTCATCGCTTCCTCAATGTAGCGAAAGACTGCCGACGACTTCCACCTTCCCAAAAATTGTATACGGTGGACACTTATACCCTTTCGGGCATACTGCATTGCCCCGGATCTCCTTGCAGAATGACCCGACATGTCGCAGTCTATCAGGTTTGCCCAGGCCGTCACCATGTGGACTTTTGACACAAGGTTGCCATGGCTGTCCGGGAAGAGTGGTGAGTGCGGGTCATTGCTCTGGAGGTCGTTCAACGCCAGTGTGGCCAGGTTGAATGGGCAATCCCTTTCGCATTCATTCTCACCACAACACTCCAGCGTCCTCCAGGCACCCACTCCCTTCTGGTCCGCCTTAGACTTTCTGATGTTGAGCTTCACCTGTCTCTTTTCCAGCTCCACCACTACGTCCCTGGCTTCTACATTGGCGGCCTCTACGGCCCTCAACATCCACAAGCAAGCCCATGCCTACGACCATGCTGTGCGCTTCGGCTCATTCTTGCCCTTGCCCTCTCGGACCCATGTCTCACGTGTGATGCTGGTCAAGCGCACCTCTTTTGCTCGCACTTCTGGGCCCTTGTCCCTCTGCATTGCTCTTTTGCATACGCCCAGCTGCCTATCGAGCTGAGTGTCCCATTCATGGCCTGCCTCGATGTGAAGCAGCTTGGCTTCTGCTAAGTACTGATCTCCTGCCTTCATTTCAGTGGAGTCCAGCACTGCGGCGAGCCCCTTCCATGTTCTCCAGGATTCCAGGATCTCTTTGCGGCGCTTCGCATTCTTGGTTGCCAACGTCGACGGGGCGTAGAACTTCTTCACAAACTCCTTTCGGACGGCTCCCAACCATTGCTTGTTCTTCATTTTCTTGCCGACCGCTTTCCAAGCCATCTTGCCCTCTTTCACCTCTATCTCCTTGGACTCGCCGTTGCGATCATTGCCCCCATTGCTGTGCTTGACCTCCCTCCCTCTTGTTCGGGGGGCCTCCTCCGGACGCTTCTTCCTCGCGCCAGATTTGGGCCCCACAGAGATGAGGCTGGTCTGTGGATCGATGTGTCTGGAATGGGCATTACGGGTGCTCGCATCTCTGTCAAACTGAGCCAGTCTGGGGGCCTTGGCTCTGTACTCAAATGAGTCCCAGGCTTGGGAGCTTCGTTTTTTGTGGCTCGGAAAGACCCGCTGGATGACCTGTGCCTCGATAGTGGGCTTGCTTCGTGAGTTGCCAGCCCCCGCTTGCAGCATCGCCAACATAGAAGGATTGGTTTCAGGAGGTAGCCGCCCTCCCATCCTGCCTGGCAAAGCCGCGGCGCACATGCTTGAAGCAACATGCCGGCCAAGAAAACTAGGCCGAGGAAGATCCATGCCCCCGGGTGCGGTGGCATGAGAAACCCGGCAGTGGCAGTGTCCCGGTTGCAGCAGGTGAAGATGGTGGGGGAGATGATCCACTCAGCATGGTCCGACTTTGCTGCAGAGCACCCCAGGGTGTTGGAAGCCGCACAACAATACGGATCCAACGAGGCAAAGCTCGACCAGACACTGATTAGCTTGTGGACAGAGAGACTGGAGTCCCTGCTGGAAATGACGACATCCGACGGCGTCACACTGAAGGAGGCGGTGGAATTCAAATCGCCCTTGCATGCCGATCTCTGGGATGCCTGGCGAGTGAAGGCCAGAGACCCGGAACAATGCATAGGACAGTGGGCTAGAGAGGGAGCCCCCCTGGGGATGGACGTTGAAGTCCAACCCTCAGACATCTTCCCATCGGTCGAGTCAGAGGAGCCCTTGGAGACGAGGATGGATCTGAGCGACTTGACGGAGCTCCGCAACTATGAATCGATGGAGACACAGAAAGACGAGGCCATGGTGGAGCTGCACAGGTACCTGGAGAAAGGATTTGTCCAAAATCCTCCCGCTGGAGATGGTGCACCAGAGGTTTCCTTCTGGGAGAGCGTCAAGACTGGCGATGATACTGAAGCAGACAGAAGGCGGACGGCTGCACAAAGAGGCGCATCGTGATTGACAGGACGCATTCTGCCACTTCGGCGTACATCCAGAAGAGCTGAAACAATCTATCAACCCAGGCCTCGAAAACGGGACAGCACTGTTGTGGGTGGCTATGCTGTTTGGCTTCAAAGCAGCCCCCCTCATCATGGGCAGGCTGAGCGCTGCTATAGGGCGACTGCTGCAGTCCACCATGCATCCAGCTGCAGGTCAAGTACAGGTCTAGCATTGACGATGTGGCGTTGATGCTGACTACGCAACCTGCAGCTGTCCAAGGTGCTGTACCTGCTGGCAGCCTTTGGAGTTCAGGTGACCATGCCAAAGCGAGAACGTAGCAAGAGAGTCCAGTGGATTGGCCAACCACGCCCAAGCAAATGGTGGAGGAGGTCCAGCAAACCTTGACGAACTGGACCGGCAAAGGAATGGTGGCTACGCGCGAGTTACGGTCCTTCCTGGGCAAGCTTGCGTGGATCGCTGGGATAGTGCCTATAGACTGAGATGGACGGTGACGTCTCTATATGCGGTGCTGGGCAAGGTGCTGCAAGAAGAGGACAAAGAAGATGAGAGGTCTCAGAAGAGGCTGAAGGACCAGAGGCCCAAACACGGTTTAGTAGCTGTCAAAAGGTTCGGGACAGCTTTGCCATGGCTTCAGGCGGCATTCGAGACACCGGACCACATGCTGGTGCGGTACGAGCCGCTGGACGAGAAGGGTTGGGGGCGTCTCATCCACCGCGTGGGACCGACGTGGCACATGGTGGAAGCCTTTGGAGCACATTCAGGCCTCAGGTCAAGCAGCCTTGGAAGGACTGGCCGTGCTCAGAGCACTTCAATTCTGGGCAACGAAGTTGCAAGGTGGGCCAGTCGTGGTGAGGTCAGACAGTTCTGTCGCACTTGCCATGGCGAAGAAGTTGGCGTCACCCACAAAGACGCTGAACTACATAGCCTCCCAGATAGCGCTGCTCCTGGAGAAAGTGAGCGTGACAAAGTTGATCCCGCAGCACGTGCCGGGAAAGCTCAACCTATCCAGGAGAGGATCGTGGTGCAATGCCAGTTTCACTGACGGATGTCAAACTCCGCAGGACATCAGCCCTCTGTGAACGGAGCCTGGCGATGAAACCTCCAGGAGTTCAAGACACCCAAACTGCGTGTACGAATGCCTGTGACCATTCTCGGCCGGCAAAACGTAGGCCGCTACAGAATGGTCGGGGGAATCACACAGGTTTCATTAACTTTCCTGGGCTGCAGTCCACGTCATTCAGGCATCCATGGCATTGCATGTTTCATAGTCATGGCCTCCGCAGCCGTTTGGGGTCAAGCCATGGACAAAGCTCTGGTGGTTCACGACTCGGCGTCCCGCTTCTGCTTCTTGGAGCCACCTCGTGCGCTTCCGTGGCTTTGCTTTCGAACCTATACAATTCTTGGGGTCCTTTGACAACGGGTTCACCACTGTGGGACTCGACTCTTCGTAGAGGCGTTTCCCATTGCTCAGCCACTTTACCTGCAGCTCGCTTATCTGTTTTGCCTTCTGCTGCATCTGGTACCTGAGCCATTCCAGGTTGAGGATCCTCTTCCACGTCTCGATGATCCTCTTTGCGATCTCGTCGGTGAGGTCCTCAGGGTAGGCTCCGGCGGCCTCTGTGTTGGCCTTTCCCACCACCGGCACGTGTTGTACCCAAGGCTGAGAGTTGCAGACCTTTGCAAGTGAGGTCAAGTTTTCTAATTTTCCTGACCATCTTGCCGGCTTGAACCAGCGCCTCCTGAGCTTCGTCTGATAGGCGCAGGTGTTGAACTCCACCGTGGATGATCTTGTCTTCACCAGGACGTCCTTTATTTATCTCCAGATCCAGAGTCCTCTGACCCTGGTGGGTTCTCCAAGGTCGACACCTCAGGTACTTCTCGTCTGCGGCAAGAGGCAACCTGTTTTTCATGCAGCCCGGCCGACCTCGTCGCCATGAGAGTTCCTTCATCTGCCTCTCGTTGTTGAGCTGGTGTGTTGCCCGGTAGCCCATATATGCGTGCCGAGCACCGCACTGGGAGTGGGCCTCCAGGGGAGTCCCGCCAACGCACCCTTGAGAAACTTGTGCACGGAAAGCCGCTGTGGAATCCATCCCACTCCCCATCCATCACTGACTTGTCCACCTCGTCAAAGATTTTGGGGCTTGCCAGATTTAACTCGGCATCTTTCTTCCTGTCAAGGGACTCCACGTAGACCTCCAGCCGTGCTCTCTTTGCCTCAGCCTTCAATGACGCGGCAAGTTGATCTCGCTCATTTGAGTGAAGGAACCTGAAAGGTCTGCATCTTCTGAAGTCTTCGAATGACTTACTCTTCTCTAAGGCTTTCTTCACCCTATCAGGCACCCACAGAGACCCAGCGTCCTGTGTCCCCGCCTCTTCACTCGGCGCGTCACCATGAGGGGCTTTGTCTCCACGCTCCACGCTTTCAGCCTTGACGGCTCCAACTCCCGAGGGCGTCTCAGGCCCGTCTGACGCCGTGCTCTCCTTGCGCTTGGCCGGCAAAGCGGTCACAGCTTTCACAGCCGGTTCACCGTCTCCCTCAAAGTCGGGTGACAGCTCCACCTCGCCGGGGTCTTCCATTGTCCCTTCGGAAAACCCTTAAGCCAAATCAAGCAGCGGCATCACCTGTTCAAGTGCCTATCAAGCATGCCAGTGGCCAAAACATGTGTTGACATGTACCTGTGACCTTTGCAAACTGCCTGAACTGAAGCACCTGCTCATTCAAAAAGAAAACTGTGAAATGAATAAACTTCTCCAAAACTTCTTGAACTCTGCAACTCAAAACGAAATAAACACACTAATGCCAGACAGAAAGACTTCAGGCCTTCATTGTTTTCCCCCAGGCCGTGGGTTCACCCTTGTCGGCACTCTGCGTCTTTGTGAGACGCAGTTCAAGACCTGACTGGTCTTCAGATCCCTTTCCACTGGCGCTTGCCGTTGAGCTCCTGTGCCTCGCTAATTCCTCCCTCTCTGTCGCCAGCCTTCGCTTGCGAGCTTGTCTTCGGTCTCTGTTGGCCTGGGTCTTGCGATGGTCTCCAAGCCCTTGCCCTTGCTCTGAGTCCTGTTCTAACGCCTTATGGTACCAGCATTGATGCCTCTGTGGCCACTGTGGGTGCACCACGACCCCCCGCCGCTGTCCAGGCTGCAGCAGGGTGGTGCACCCTCTCAGCGCAAAACTCCAGGTCTCCTGCAAGTTGCGTAAACACGCATGACCAGGGTTTCATCGGGTCCCAGTCCCTTGGCACCTGTCTGTTCTGCGCTGACTCAATCGTCAGGCGGCGCCTGATCTTTTCCAAACGCTCATCATCGGCCATGTAGATCAACCCCCAGCATCTTGGCCACTGAGTATTCAACTTTTCCACCTGCCTTGCATAGGTCTCCAAGGATACCAGGGAGCAGATGTTGAGCATAATGAGGGCTGCTCGAAAGACATTCCACGAAGCCCTCCAAGCCGCCACTACTGCTTGGCCCAGGAAGATCCTTCTGAAGATAGCTGCCATCTCCAAGGGGGGTATACACCCTACACTTCTGAAGTCGCCACATTCTCCGTTCAAACGTCCGTGTACGGGGCGCGGTTTTCCACGTAGACCTTCTTGTGGAGTGCAGCCAACTGTGCTGATGTTGGTTCCTCAGCTTCATCAGGCTGGGAACCCATTGTGACAATGTAGTTCTGATACCACCTGTCCACCTCCGAAGCCTCGGGGGGCAACAATTCACTGTCGTCCTGCTGGTCGATGAGCGCACTCATCTTTAAGACGCGCTCCTTCACGCCCCCTCCTGCCCTCTGAGGTCGCTCTGCTGGAACTGTATCTCGCCTGGGCTCCTCCGTGTCCATCCATGGGTCAATGTCTATGAACTCTGTCTCGGCGACATTGGACTTCGCAGCCACGATTCTCCTTGCTAGCCGCCATACTAACCCCACTTGAGTATAGCTTGAACTGGGGTAAGGCCCCCTTCCGGGGTGACAGCGCTGCCGCAGGCTGACACCAGGGCCACTTTCGCCAAAGCCACCAGCAACCTGTAGTCGTTGCCAGGGCTGCCCACTTGTGCTTCGAATGCCTGCCAGACCGCCTCAGGCACGTCGAAGTGGTCCAACAGGTCATCCAAGGTCTGGAAAGTCTCCATGGACGCCATGAACCGAACAAAGCTGCCATGCTACTCGCGGCTATCCTTTCAGGCGTAGCCACGCTTCACATGGGTGAAATCCTGTTGGCAGCTTGAGCCAAAATTGGCATACTTTCAGGATCCCACCCTCCTACCCTAGTCTTCACACCTGCACTTGTTTGTGGAGGCGTGCTGATAAATAACCTGGTAGTTTTGGGCGTTTTTTGGGTATTTTAGTCGTGGGTGGGGTGGGGTGGGGTGGGGTGGGATGATAACGTCGTGTTACGTTGACGTCATGTCCTGGTGCTACCAACTTGGCTAGGTCATGCTACGTCTTGGGTGGGGTGGGGTGGGGTGGGGTGGGATGATAACGTCGTGTTACGTTGACGTCATGTCCTGGTGCTACCAACTTGGCTAGGTCATGCTACGTCTTGGGTGGGGTGGGGTGGGGTGGGGTGGGATGATAACGTCGTGTTACGTTGACGTCATGTCCTGGTGCTACCAACTTGGCTAGGCCATGCTACGTCTTGGGTGGGGTGGGGTGGGGTGGGGTGGGATGATAAGGAGCACATATATGAAGCCTTGCAAGAGATTGTGAAGAGCCAAAGCGTGGGAGCCAAAGCGTGGGAGAGCCTGTGCAAAGAGAAAAGGATCAAAAAATTTCCAGTTACGCATCGAAAACAACAGTTCACTCGAAAGTTGAAAACTTGGAAGAAACCTGGAGCCACCATTGCTGGAACTCAAGCAGTGGACAGATGGTGGCAATCGCTTGACCGTTTCATTCCTTCCTCTTTGAACAACAAAGACTGGTCCAAAGGTGGTTTGAATCAAAAATTGATTTTGTATATGCATGCCTTTGTTTGGCGATACCACTTACCAGTCACTGCAGACTTGAAGTCTCACCTCGGAAAATTGAAATGAGTGAAAACGAAACGCGCCGCGACGGCTAAATTTACCCCAATAACACAAACTCCTGTATTTTACAGGACGAAATGCTGTCGAAGACACAAATGAGACCAGGTTAAATACCCGCGCGTGACCTTGTTTGTCAGCGTGAGATGCTTCTCAATAAATTCTATAGACAGACATATATATATATACACATAGATAGATATTAGATATTCAATATTCGATATTAGGTTTAGGGTTTAGATATTGGATATAGATATAGACATAGATATAGATGCTGATATAGATATCTATTATCTATCTCTATATCTAAGTATCACAGTATCTATGTGTATGTCACCATTCAAGTTGATCGTGCAACAATCTGCTGATCATAGTTCTTCGACACTGGATTGCTGAGGCAAGTGCTGACTGGTACAGAAGGATGAGCTGCAAAAGCAAAGTGTTCAGAAATGCAAGGAAAACCACAATGTACATGTGTATTATATATATCCACATTTATTATTATTATCATTACTATTATTATTACTATTAATACTATTATTATTATTATCAATGTATATTATTCATGTATCTAGGTATGTATGAGTGTGCATAGGCACGTGCGCCCACACTCCTGGAATTCATCGCTTCAAGATGACTCACTCTGAACCAAAATGGTGCACACTGCAGCTGGACTGCCTTGATTCCAAAGTCCAAAGAGCAGCCTCGGAGCATTTCTAATGCGCACGGTTGTTCACACAGAAATTAGGACACTTGCTGGGATGAGCCGGACCCTGCATATTGATTAGAGGTATCTCACAACGGAGAAAGTCAGATTTCAAAAATCCCAGACCATCACCACCATACGTCCATGCTTGGGACTTCCGTTGCCAAGGGCTGGGCCGCAACAGAACGAATCCATTGGGCTCAGCAGTTTGAGCAGAAGCTGGCGCATTTCAATTGCTGGAGCACAGGATTTTTTGCTTAGTGGGGATGTGCATAATCCATACGTAACTGGGGATGTACCATGTGTATCCATGTGCAAGTTGATCAATTATAGTTTGCTTACTACCCATTTACTAACTGGAATGCACATCCTCCCTAGGCACCCTTTCTTAAAAAAAAACTGAAGCAGGGGCAGTAGATTGATGACAACATGCACACTCCGCGCACTCCCAGGGTTTCTGGGTCTTTGCTACGAAACCAACGCGCCTTCATAGTGGCAACAGCCCCACCAGGAGCTGTGCCAGGCCTCGGCTCAGTCACCGATCCAGAAATAACACCATGCTGCTGCTCATCTCAGGCCCTTGCGGATGGTCTGGGTTCCCACCAAACAGGATGGGGCCAGACTTGAGACATCATAGCAGCAAAGACATCCAAATATGGCGTTCAAACGCGTTCAAATTGTTCAACCAGCGGAGTTTGCAAGGCAACAGCTTCGACTCCCAGCAACTCAGGATCAAGTTCAGCCACAGGATTCCGCCCATTTTTGCGAGCCATCCCAGATCACACGGAGCTGAGTGCTCTGTCACTACAAACCAGACCTTGACTAAAGCGCAGAATACCTGAAGCCACCATGGTACGTCCAGTCCATGAGTCCATGGAGTAGGACCAATCATGGTGCAGGAATCTCTTGGCCTGTAAACATCCACGCTTCCCCAATCCCTGCTCACAAATATGACGATCATGAGACTCCCCTACAGCACAGTAAAAGCGACGGCAAAGCGAACTGCTGGATATAGCCTCTTGTACTGAAAACAAGCTGCGAGACAAGATATACACAGGGTGTGGGTGACGAAAAGCCGCACTGCTCCCCGTGCCATACTTGGGAAACTTGCTCCGCTTGTCCTTGGGCAAATGGAACAAGAAAGGCAAGCTCTAGCCGGTCTTGCCTAGAAGGAAACAATGCTAATGCAACGCAAAAAAAAGCCAACTCTTCATACAGATCTATATAACAAGTGAAATGTTGAGGACAAAAACATCCGCAAAAGAAACACTGATCGAGACTGCAGAACAACATTGGACAAAGTCAAGCCTCAATGTGTCGGTCTGGATCAAATTCAATAGTGCTTGCCGCTCTGCATGACCAGACCTCCCATAAACGGCGGGGTTGGAAAATCTGTCAAGAATCGGCTTGTACGGCCCTCAAGAAAGATCGGGGCATGACTATGCTGTAGTCTGCGTTGTAGTCTAGCTATGGATCTTGGAACAAGTCATGTTTGAAGAAGTAAAGTTATCAGAGTAAAAGACGAGTTACAAGAGCTGTCTGCTGCTGATACCAAGAAATGAAGTCAATTTCATCTAAATCTAACATGTTGATGCCTAGATTTCCAATCCGATAAGTCCCTCATACTCAAGCGAAACGTTTATGATCTGAAGGGCTCAGAACGGAAAACTAGATCTATTCGCGTAGGTTTGTTCGCTGCAAGCATACTGTGAGTCGCTCGGCGCAGAGAGGCTGCATGCAGATTGGTCAGAAATGCTCTGTGCACATGGTTCACGACTATTTTTTGAACTTAGCTTTGCAAGCTGTTTCAGTAAATTCAGCGCAGTTCCGATATGTGGGTCTGCTGAATCCCCCTTCAAATTGATTCAAAAATGTTTGTTGCAAGTGCACTCAATCTAATGCTTTGTGCAAGTATACTCACTGAACGCACTGCTGACAACGGGTCGATCCTTCGAACAAAAAAAAGGCTGCAAGCTGCAAACACCAACAAATCTACAGCACTTTCCCAATTTTTCTTACTGAAACAAAGCTGAAGGAAAGAAACTAGGAACCCGGCGCATAGACGGCCGTGGCTCAAAATGAAGATTGAGTATCATCCAGCATTGATTTTCTGTGCGTTTGTAAGGGGATTTCTCAAGTTTCAGGTGTATACACTTTTTGTGGCTGAATTCCATTGGAAAGTTAGCAAAATGGCGGTTTCGCCTCAGCGAAACGATAATTTTAATGCTTTTTTGAAATGACGTAACTACTTTGTCTATGCCAGGATTTGCTTCTTTTTTTCCTCATCTGACAGCATCAATCCTGCGGCAGGAGGTCTTCCAAGTGTTCCAAAAATTCGCAGCAGCGTAGCATCCCACGTATGTAGGCAAGGTACATGAACGTTAATATCCCCCCCACCCCACCCATGCCCAGTGACGTAGCAGCAGCGTAGCATCCACGTATGTAGGCAAGGTACATGAACGTTAATATCCCCCCCACCCCACCCATGCCCAGTGACGTAGCAGCAGCGTAGCATCCACGTATGTAGGCAAGGTACATGAACGTTAATATCCCCCCCACCCCACCCATGCCCAGTGACGTAGCAGCAGCGTAGCATCCACGTATGTAGGCAAGGTACATGAACGTTAATATCCCCCCCACCCCACCCATGCCCAGTGACGTAGCAGCAGCGTAGCATCCACGTATGTAGGCAAGGTACATGAACGTTAATATCCCCCCCACCCCACCCCCCCCACCCCACCCATGCCCAGTGACGTAGCAGCAGCGTAGCATCCACGTATGTAGGCAAGGTACATGAACGTTAATATCCCCCCCACCCCACCCATGCCCAGTGACGTAGCAGCAGCGTAGCATCCACGTATGTAGGCAAGGTACATGAACGTTAATATCCCCCCCACCCCACCCATGCCCAGTGACGTAGCAGCAGCGTAGCATCCACGTATGTAGGCAAGGTACATGAACGTTAATATCCCCCCCCACCCCACCCATGCCCAGTGACGTAGCAGCAGCGTAGCATCCACGTATGTAGGCAAGGTACATGAACGTTAATATCCCCCCCCACCCCACCCATGCCCAGTGACGTAGCAGCAGCGTAGCATCCACGTATGTAGGCAAGGTACATGAACGTTGATATCCCCCCCCCACCCCACCCAACCCCCTTTTGCTAAAATATGTATTTCGGTCCACGGCCGTCTATGCGCCGGGTACCAACTACATGGAGCCGATCGTGTGAACAGAATAGGCACTCTGTATGCACATGACCTGTGTCAATACGTCAAGGATAGTCTAGGAGTCTAGGCGTAGCTCACTGTGTCTGCCACTGATTTGGCCGGAAGACACCTGAAAAAACTGTTGGAAGTGTTTCGGGGCCTCTCGTGTTCCACTTGTATTGGCGGAAGCCATTGGTCTCGTTCAGATCTGTCTTGTTGAAAGCCATTGACGCGCCCTCTGCTTAAATCCGCATCGAAGTTGTATGATGCCCATGCCAGGATGGTGCTAGCCGAACGGTCTTGCGATTGGAAGGTTTCTGGCCCATGAAGTGCCAGGTTGGAGAGACAAAAACGTTTCGCACGTACTGTCCATGATGCCCAACCTTCATAGCTGCTATAGCTCTCGCACAGGCCTTCCAGGGCCTGCCTTGTGAAATGTACACCCAAACTATGTTGCCTTTCCAAGATTCTATCCCTAAGTCGGGTAGATCGACCAAAACCAGCAGCTGGATCCAGGTTCTCCAATTGACAAAGCGATGGATTCATCATGTATCGCTGCAAACACCTCTCCAGCACATCAGAAGCCGAAGTGTCAATCTGCATGGAATCCAAATAATCAGAGGCCGTAACAGCAAGACCCAGCGGGCGTAGGGCCTTTGCAAAATAAATGAATAACATTATGATTGGAATCTGCCTCCCAGAAGGAATGTTAATCCATATATAAACTCCGGCATGCATGAATATATTAATGCGTGAATGCATGCAGGTATATGGATGCATGTGCATGCCAAAATATATGGATGCAGAAACAAAAAATCAAGGGATGGATTAATGTCTGTGTACCTGGCTGTTTATCTATCTAGCAGTTTATCTATGTATCTATTCATTTACTTATTAGTTTATTTATCTATTTACCTATTTACCTATCTACCTATCTACCTATCTACCTATCTACCTATCTAGCTATCTACCTATCTACCTATCTACCTATCTACCTATCTTCCTATCTAGCTATCTAGCTATCTAGCTATCTACCTATCTAGCTATCTAGCTATCTACCTATCTAGCTATCTAGCTATCTACCTATCTACCTATCTACCCATCTACCTATCTAGCTATCTAGCTATCTACCTATCTACCTATCATACCTATCGATCTATCGATCTATCGATCTATCGATCTATCGATCTATCTCTCTCTCTCTCTCTCTCTCCCTCTGCTGTGGGTCGATCGGCCTGCAGGCCTGTCGGCCTCCCTATGTATATAATTTATATATTCACATATGGATGAGTGTGCCTTTGCTTTGACACAACACTGTATATCACAGCAAATAACACGATGCTGAGACCCGCAGCAACTGGATAACTGGATTCATGAAATTCAAACATCAGAACGACGCGAGGTTTACTTCCCATATACCAGAAACACACGCAAACAAACGTAGACACACTGAGTCGAAAAAAAAATAACTGAAACTGCAATCAGGAGAAAATCTCACCTCAACATCCTCGACGAAAAGGCTTGAAACCTCCTTCATCATCCCTTCCAAAATTACAGGTGCAAGGTCCATCTGTCCAGAATCCATGCAGGCAGCCAATAGTTCCAGGTGTCCCACCACGTCCATCCTGCTGGTTGTTTCGCAGAAAAAAATCTTGCTGGACACATATCAACCAACGAACAACGGGTGATTCAATCAACTTCAATGAGAATGTAATGGGTTGTCAATGGGATACATTACCAATAACTTGACATTTAAGCAGCCTGTCTAAAAATGGGGCCTGCCCCCATTTTTTGCCTGGCCCTTTTTACAGGGGATAATGATGATTAATTATGTTAGTCGATGCATGGAATGGCCTTGACCCTTTGAACATCAGATTCCAAATGACCCTTCATATTTTAATATTTTCCAGTGAGCCCTTTGAGCATTCATATTTATCATCAAGAAAAAACTCACTGGACAGTCGTAGCAAACGGTGACTTGAAAATGACCCTTCTCCTGTGCTGCGAGGGTTTCCAAAGCTGCAAGGCCTGTTGCCAGGCAGCGCCTTTTCTGCATGCAGCAAGACAGGTGTTGTAGGAAACCAGGTCAGGAATCAGTTTCACCAATCCAAGTTGCAGAAAGAAATGCAAAGAACGCTCCCATTGACTGCACTTTTGACATGTGCTCATCAAGGTGTTGTAAGTAATAAGGTTTCCTTTCAAACTGTGACCAAGTTCCATTGTCCGCAGAAGGATCAAGGCATGCTGCCAAAGCATGGACTTTTCCATGCCTTTCAAGATGGCATTGAACATCACTTGATCTGCACTGGTAAGACTAGTAAGTTTCAAGATTTGCAAACATTTCTGCCATTGTATCGCTTCGGAACATGCTGTGGTCACAGAATTGTAGGCGATAGTATCTGGGAAAATTTCACGGCATCTCATGTTTACAAGCTGCTCTAAAGCAGTTTCCCACTGGGCCGTCTTTGCACATGCACTCAAAACCGCACTGAAAGAGACAACATCAGGTTGAATTTGATGTTCCATTTCCATTGCTTGCAAGAGTGCCAGTGCGTGTTCCAATTCTTCCGCGGACTCGCAAGCACTCAAACACGCGTTGAAACTCACAGTATTTGGAGTAGCTATACCACATTTTTTGATGCAAAGGGCAAGCAGCTGAATGGCAGACTTCCAACGGCAAGATCGCTCCAAGGTCGTCAACAGTGTGTTCAAAAGCACCGTGTCTGCAGTCAACCGCTTGCACCGAAAATCTGAAAGAAAATGGAAACTCCAAGGCCAACTCTTTGTCTCTTGCGCTGACATCGCAGAGATGGCCGTGTTGAGCAAGATCGGGGTGGTCTCTGTTTTTTGCAGCACTTGGAGGGACAAAAACCAAGGAAACGAACCCAACATGGCACCAAAAGTATGGGCATCTGCACGGAAGTCAGCAATCGTAGTCCATGACAAGAAATGCAGCACTTTCGCCCAGGGTTCGTGATTCGATGTCGTACGTACAATTACATTCGTTGATATCAGCGATGGCTGAAGAAAATTCAACCGTGTCTGCCAAAACAAACGAATCGCTTGCTGCCAACCTTGTCTGCTGCAAGTCTGCAGAGCACTACCACAACAGACTGCATCAATTTGCAAATGGATCGTTTGCAACTGATCCAAAGCAACCAATGCCTGCACATGTCAGACACTTCATGCATGCATGTGTTTGCATGTCCGCATTTTTTCAATCTGCTCTACATGCCAAAGAAAAACTGTTCTTCCACATGAAATTCGACAAACGAACCTCGTTCCAATGGTTGCAACGTCCGTGCGCCTGACCAGCAATGGAAAACATGTTTGGTGAAATCCGAAGTGCTGTTGTCTTTGACCACCCATTTCAACAGGTTTCAACATATTTCAACAAGTCCGACCCAACGAACCTGTATTGTTCTGGTAGTTTTTTTCAACACGTCTGTTTGAGGCGGCTGCGCAAGGCACATAGCTGTGGCGACAGGAAATCATCGAGAGACCCAGGTTACCCAACCCAAGCCACTCATTGACTCATGTACAAGGACTGAAATGTACACATCGGCATTTTTTGTTAACCGTATGTAAATCTGGAATTTGTACTTCAAAGGTTGATCTCACAAGAAACCCAAATTGGAAACATGTTTTCGGGTCAAATGTTGTTCTAAACCAAGGTAAGTGAATGATTGAGAGTGTCTGTTCGTGTGTTTGTGTGACTGCCTATGCCTGCTGATGAAACTGAAAGCCGACAAACTAGTGTGTTTCATTTTTTTTGGCCGATCTCAATGCACCATCAGATTGATGCCGCTTTGGATGTCAAAATCAAATCGACCCCAACAGAACAAAGCAGCACCCGCTGAAAAGTTTGGCCAACAGTGTTTTTGCCCTCTATATATTGTAATGTTAAGTTTCGGCCCGAAGCCTACCAGGGGTGAACTTGTTTTCCACTGACCTTCGGGACCTCGTACTGTTTTGCCATGGATACTGGTATGTTTGGTTCTACTGATCATGACCATGTCTTCACGGGGGTGATCAGGGTTACTACTTGGTGTGATGGGTCATCCATTGGCCAGCGTGTTCCACCCAATGAGCCTTACATGGTGATCGGGTTCGTCCTCCCAGAGGGCAACGTGAGCCTCTCTACGGCTTTCAGAAGGGTGATGCGGATGACTTTGTTTATCTTCACCCAGCAGAAGATTCTTGGTGGTTTTGTCATGCTCCCCAACATGATCTCTCTCCACGGCTCCTTGAGTTGTGCGCAGGAGTGGGTGGTATGGGAGTAGGAGCTTCGTTTGCTGGTGGAATTCCATTTGTTTCAGTTGATCACAATGGACTTTCTTGCTCTCATTTGACTGCCAATCACCATGGTGAGATTCTTCAGTTGGACTTGAGAGGGAAGGGTGAAAGATCGAAAGGTAGGCATGGGTTGGAACAGGAGAAGAGAGCAAGGGAACGAGGAGAGTTGATTTACTTATAAAAAATGGTGAATTTCCATTGTTTTTTTGTATGTTGACTAGAAAGTAACCGCAGCAACGAAGCGGCGACTAAGGGGGATGATCTGCCAAGTCCTGGAAGTAACAGCCCGGACAACAGCCGCAACCAAAAAGAGACATGATACTGTTCGTGGCATATCATGGGGAAAGTAAGTATCACATAAGTGTCCTGCGAAGCACATATTTGGGTAGATCAGGCGGTACAATCTCGAACAAACCGACCATAGGGTGGTTTAGCCACTGATAAATTTTGATCACAGTAGTCCAATGGGAGCTGGCTGCAGCAGCATTTTCAACAAACATCTTATTTGAGGACCGTGTGACGCGACACTATCAAAACATGGGAGCTGCCCTAGGTTGCTAGGGCTTGAGTACAACGTACTTCGTACATGAAACAGCCGGGTACGTCCGAAACAGCACCAGCAACGATGGAATGATAGGATAATTGACTACAGAAGGGTGTATCAACGCCCCAAAAGGTGTCAATGTCGTGGTTGTCGAAACAAGTGGTCTATGTTCGGATGGTGTTGGAAAGCGTGCAACTAGCCGGTGGTCGGACACACCCAGTCTTCAGACTTCATAGCATGGCATTTGGCTAACGTAAGAGATCCGGTGAAGCAAATGAACTGGTTTATAGGTGGACAGTAAATACCGAGGCTGAAATTGAACAATCAACTGACGGTAAAATAGCTGAAACGTGCGGCCGCGGATGATTCCCGCAATCCACTTCCCATTAGTCTAGTGACGGAGAACGGTGTTTTTGTCACAACACATTTCATCCAGAGAGTTCCTTTCTATATATGGGCAACCCTCTTGGTATGAACACAGTAACAGAGCGATGGTGCGGATGCCTGTGGATATCGCTGACGGACATGACGATTTACCGGTCAAGGTAGCCGAAACAGTGCACGGCAATGGGGTCGAAACTGTAATGACTATTTGTAGTTATTCAAGGGCCGAAGGAAGTTTAGAAGGCAAACTCCCGACAATATGGACAGATGAAAAGCAGAGCAGGGAAGAGGCAGCGAGAAGAGAAAGATTAGGAGAGAGAAGATGAGAAGAGAAAGAGTCAGAAGAAAGAAGATGCAGATGCGCGAAAAGGTGGGTATATCGCGAGTCACCGTGTTTTCCCAATGATTTGCGGCTCCGGAGGGTCGAACAGTAGGGTCGCTGAAGCGGCGGGTGCGGAGCCAGGTGGCCAGATGAGAGATGAAAAAGTGCACCCCGCGGTGGCGCGAAGCACAGTTGGAAGTCAAAACGTTAAAAACACTAGGGGTTCGAAAATTGGAACTATGTCTTGAACTATGTCTTGAACTATGTCTTGAACTATAAGTTCACGTCTCGAAAATAAAACGTCAAAACGAACATAGTTCGAACAAGTGCGAAACCAACCTTGTACAGACACGTCCTTGGGAAGACAGAAGCTTGGACATAGAGGACACTGGTTGAAGATTTGAAGATTTGAAGATAGAGAGAGAGAGAGAGAGATAGATAGATAGATAGAGAGATAGAGAGATAGAGAGATAGAGAGATAGAGAGATAGAGAGATAGATAGATAGATAGATAGAGAGAGAGAGATAGATAGATAGATCGATAGATAGATAGAGAGAGAGAGAGTGAGAGAGAGAGAGATAGAGAGATAGATAGATAGATAGATAGACAGATAGATAGATAGATAGATAGAGAGATAGATAGATAGAGAGATAGATAGATAGAGAGATAGATAGATAGATAGAGAGATAGATAGATAGAGAGATAGATAGAGAGAGAGAGATAGAGATAGATAGATAGATAGATAGAAAGATAGATAGATAGATAGAGAGATAGAGAGATAGAGAGATAGATAGATAGATAGACAGAAAGATATATAGATAGATAAAAAGATAGACAGATAGATAGACAGATAGAGAGACAGAGATATAGATAGATAGATAGACAGACAGATAGATAGATAGATAGACAGAGAGATAGAAAGATAGATAGATAGATAGATAGACAGATAGAAAGATAGATAGATAGATAGAGAGAGATAGATAGAAAGAGAGATAGACAGATAGATAGAGACATAAATAGAGAGAGAGATGGATAGATAGAGGCATAGATAGAGAGAGAGAGAGAGCAATAGTCAGAGAAAGAGTGAGAGAAATCAATCATCTTTCGCACCAGCAGTGGCTTCGCTCTGCCATCCCGGAGTCACAACAACCAAACTGTCCTATAGGTTTCCTATTTTTGAAACTTCCGCCACCTCCTTGCGCGGTACTACTGGTATGTGTGGTAAAGTGGGTGAACAGGTGGTCAGTAGGAAGTGCGGGGTGAAACAGTGCATCGCAAATTATGCTGTCTCAGCCGCTGAGCAGAGGCATCGATGCCTGCGTGCGGCAACAATATGGAGGGAATGCGCAGTATCCTTGCCCACTGACATTCGGCGGTCTTATTGGGATACAATGAAAACATGAGCTGGGCACGGGAAATGGCAATAGAAAACGCAAGTGCCAATGCCGAAGAGGTGGTTGCACGTTTTGATTTGGGCCGGTAGCTTGCAGAATGGTACCGTGAAGATGGGACAACTGTTCCGTGTCCAACAACTTGGAACCCCAAACCTGGAGTCGAGAATCATGTTCGCGTAAAAAAACCGAAGGTTTTGCCATTCCGTCGCGGAGAATGAGGTTGAATATGTGACAATATGCCTGATTGTTTGGAAGAGTCACATGCACGCATTATTTTCCATGGACAGTATCTTTCGCTCGTGAAAAAAAGAAGCCTAAGTCTGAATTTGGCGTGGGTGGTGGAAAAAATCGTGCCACAGAATGGAGAGTTGGGGCTGCAAGGCCCTAAGTTTGGTCTCACTTTCGGACGTTTGTTTTCCAAACTAGTTGGGGAAAGGATAGGGACCATTGTTGTGGAAAAAGGTGGCTTACTAACTAGTTCAAGATAATTGTATGCGAAGACGTCCATCATTTAGGTGGCATTCCGAGTGATTTGGAGGCCTTGGGCCGGCGGCAGCAGCCGGATTCCCGGCTGGCATCTGGGCAGCAGGGCTAAAGGAGTGTGCACAGATACGATATATACAGTAGATACGTTCCTAGACAGAGAGAGAGAGAGATATATATATATATACATATATATAGGTATATAAATATATAAGTAATTATAAGTATATCTATCTATATATATATATATCTATATATAATTATATGTAGATATATATATATATAGACGTAGGGCGCTGTCGCCGCGCCCGCCTGCCACAGATTGAAAGGTGCAGGCCTTGGGCCAGCGGCAGCAGCCGGATTCATTGATGGTACCTGAGCATCATGGTTAGAGCGGCGGGCATAGACATAACAGGCATGTGTGCGTGAACAACCACAACAACAAGAACAACAAGAACAAGAACAAGAACAAGAACAAGAACAAGAACAACAACAAGAACAACAACAACAACAACAACAAGAACAAGGCAACAACAACAACAACACCAACCGCAACCGCAACCACAACCACAACTACAACGACCACGACACTAGAGGACATGCACGCGGCATGACATTAGACTAATGACACCACACCACGACTACAACTGGAATCGGCTTGCACTTGCACTGCAGAAGTACAGTATAGGATCGTCACAGTGCCAAGGCGACACTACAACAACAGGGACAACCGCAACCACAGCCAGAACCGCAGTACACGACAGTACATTCAGCAGTTGTGGTAAGGTGACCACTGCAGCCAGTGGAACCGTTGCAAAAAACAGAACTCCAACGACTTGTCGGTCCATCAGTGGAGTCGCTTTGCCACCCGTGATTCACAGCCCCGACCTCGCCTGTAGGCTGCGTAGGTGTGAAACTTCTGCCACTGCCTTGCGCGGTACTATTGGTAATAGAATACGATTGTTGACCTGACTACGAGCGTGTAGATGAAAAGGAGGGATCAAGGGTCTGGGTGGTGCAGGCGCCTGCGTCTTGGGCAGCGGGTGACACGGGCGGCGCGGCAGCAGCGGGAATCTTCAGGTCCTGACAGGGAATGCAGAAGGTAGGTTGCAGGGCAGGAGGCAAAGCAGATACAAATGTTGTCCTGAGTTGAGCGGGATGAATGTTGCGAAGGCTGCGAGGCCGTACAGCAGCTATGGGGCGCCGGCGGTTCACAAGACGCGTTGCCTTGTTGGCGAGGCATTGCAGGCGTTGGATGGTTGCGCTAGTAGGCGGCATGTCGGGTTGCAGCACGTTGACTCCGTCAGTCATCTGCTGGATGTAGTGCCGGAGGCGTACCATCTGTTTGCGACGAGGTTTCAGCACGGTGGTAGTAGGCTGCAGGGCTTCCAAGCATCGCAGGAGGGCGAGACGCGCGAGGGGTCGGTCAAGAGCAGCATGGTTCGGCAGCTGTTGTTTCCACTGCGGGCCGAAGTGCGATGCCATATGTTGCACATAGTCGGTGTGGGTGGGCGGCGCCGGGGGGTGACGAAGTCGGCGATGCAGTCGAGCAGCCATGTGCTGCCATGTGTTCCACAACACAGGGCGGGACAAGTGGGAAAGGAGAAGCGCTGGAGGCGTTGGCGGCGGAGACGGTGGAGGGGTTGGCACAGGGGCGCGATGTGCAAGCAAGGCTTTGGCATCTGCAAGGATCGTGGAAGGGTCGCCGTGGTTTGGGAGTTGGTCCCATCGATGTCCAAAGCGGGCTTCCATGTCATTCCGCCAGTCATGGATGGTGCAGTTGCCGGTGTGTTCTGGGGTCGGGTGGTGTGCGCGAAGTTGCTTCAAAAGGTGTTGCCATTGGTTCCAGCACAGAGGGCGGGGCGCAGCATCGCGCAGGGCAGTCCGTAGCAGCAGCGCCATGGCGATGGGCAGCGAGAAGTGTCTACGGGTAAGCCGTGCGTTGGATTTATGTGGTGCATGCCGTACAGACTGTGACTATATAGGGTAACAGGCGGTAGCAGGGGTAGCTAGCGTGGGACTATTTGTGCGGGGAGGTGCGTGGAGGGGTGTGTGTGGTCGTGTGTGTGTGTGGTCGTGTGCTGCACTACGTTCCCATGCTCGGCGTGCATGCGCGGGCCGGCCCTGAAGCAAGTAGTGGCAGCGAGCAAGGCGGCGAACGGCGGCAGTTACAGGGTGAAAAGAAGTGATAGGCGAAGAAATGGGTGTTAGAATGGGGAGAACGTGTTAAGGATCGAGTTAGCCGCGTCATTGTTTTGCTACCGGCGTATAGCATGGCTGGGCGAAGTTGTCAGTGGCCAGCGACGCGGCAAACATGGAAATCAGGTTTGAAATTCTGCCAGCCACGGCCAGACAACCTTGCGCATGGTGGTGGCTGGGGTGAAACGACAGCAAATGGCAGCCGTCAAGCCACCACATGGAACCGCAATCACCAGGCCAGGGCCGCGGCAACGTATGGCACTGAAATCCGGGTCGAAGCCGTGGTCCTCGATGTATGGGGAGTACAGCCATGCTGCGCGGGCAAGAAAAGCGACGAGCGCTTGGAAGGGTGGTGTATCAGCGTGCTGGCGGTTGAGATGGTGCAGCAGTTCGATCGGCGTGCACCGCGTAAATGCGGGAGCGTTACTGGCGGCACGGCTGCAGTAGGCAGGGGGGCGGAAGGCCCACGGCGCAAACGAGTCGGGGATGCCCACGCAGTGGTTGAAGGAGTTGTGCATGGCAGCCTGGGCAGCCATGGCAAGTGTTACATGTAGATGGTGGGGACATGGGAAACACAGTTTCAACACAAGATATCTGCTGACGGGCGTGCAATGAAAGACACAGGGGCATGAAAGGGAAATAGAATATTATAGTCGGAATGGGGGTGGTGGCCTGGGCACGAGCACGAAGAGAAGGATGGTGCGGCGGCTCCCAAGGACTGGCGAAGAGCACGCGGATGCGGAGGATGTCGTCAAGGGAGAAACCAGGAAGATGGACGCCAGCAATGTAGGAAGCGGCACGGTACACAGCAAGGATCTCGGTCAGCTCGGCACGGATGCGACGGCAGCAGGTAGCAAACCGCAGGAGCGCCGTGGTTTTGAGCAGCAAAGCAAGCCACACGGGTAGAACGGCGGCAGCGCGGCAGAGCATGGCACAGGAACGCAGAGAGACGGAGAGGGCGAACGGAAACGGCTGCAGTAGGACATAGAAAGGCTTGCAGTGGCAGGGCGGCAGCGGAAACCATGGTGAGCAGCGGCAACCCAGTAACTCATGACTGCACGGTGCAACATTGCGGGCGCAAGTTGTGAACTGGTCAATGGTGAGATCGCGTGAAACACTACCACATTGGGTGTCGACAAGGACCGTTTGATCCGCAAACCCACGTTGGATCCGCAAAGACACTTGGCAAAGGTAATGTGACTATGGCGGTAGGGTATAGAGGGCATGGTATGATATTATACACTCGGTTTGGGAAGTATGAAGGTGACCTGACTGAATGGCTGAGAGACGGTGGCTAAGAAGGGTGGTTGCAAAAATGTGTGGCGGCATCGCTCACTGTCAGCCCTGCAGCACCTGGCATGGGATCGGTCTGGGGCAAGAACCGTAAGGCACGACTGATGCGACAAGTAACATGATTACCATGGAGTTGTTATGTGACGGGAGTTGCGCGTTGTCACATGTGAGAGCGCTTTTTCGTGCGGAGCCTCCGGGGATGATGCGCCACATCTGGTGTGTCAGTTGTCTACAAGCAGCTGCACGGAGGCAGCCGCGCACATGGTTAAAAAAAGGTGGCCGAGGCATCGATAGCAAGCAAACAAACGAACAACTTGAAACAATTGTCGGCGATGTTGGCAGCAATCACAAGAGTAGGTGTAGACTTATACGACCGCTGGAACAAATGAGTTGCATATATGCCTTGGCGCGAACGATATTTCCGCAATTGTGGCGCGGGTGTCAGCATTGAAACAACCAGCAGTAGGAGCGCAGAAACAAAGCAAATTGAGTTGTAAGTATACTGGCCCCAATGACAAATCCGTGGTAGTTGAAAGAACATTGGTGTTGGGGAATTGGAGGCTGCGTCTCCTCGCCGGCTACGAATTAGGGATCACTCAGTGTGGAAGATCGCCTCCACGGCCGCGCGGATGTTGGGGGCGAGTCCGGCAGCGAAGGACACGCGATAGCCGCCAGTGATGCTGTCACGCAACTCATCGAGGGCAGTGGTCGTGGTGACGTCCAGGACAGTGCTTGTGCGAATCCAGCCGCCTTTCTCGCCACGTGAAAGCTCCCATTGCGGCAAGGCATGGCGCAGTGGCCAAGTATTGCCTGATATAGTCGCAAAGAAGGTATTCTCAGCAGTGCCAGCCGGGTAGAACGTCAAGGTAAGGTGCGGGCATCGGCCCGGGGAAGGCACATCCCCAATGTCAAAGTCGGCAGGCACATCCTCGCGGAAGGTAATGGCCCAACGCGGTGTTTCGAAATCGAGCGGGACTGGCAGGTTCCACATGGTGACCTGCAGGCACTCACACTGTGTGGTGACGAGTAACGTCGTTTTGTTGCTCAGTGCCCGCCTGGAACTCGGCATCAGGGCGCTCCATCTAGGAAGAACCTGGGCAGGGAATGGCAACGATGGGGATGGAGAGGGAGGGGCAGGTGCCAGACTGCAAGCATGCATGGTGCCGAGCGACGCCAAGTCATGTACTCGTAAACGTGGCCAATCGCAGCTTGCAGTCCGGCAGGCCCATCGCCAGAATATAAGCCAATGGCATACTTGGGCGGGCCGCCGAATTGCCAAGAAAGTTGGCATGCCGATGCTTGGATGCGCAAGGCGAGGGAAAACAGCATCCATGGCAGTGGTGGACATAATTTGATCACATGAGCCGTTCATGCGGGCACAGTGCAGGTGTGACTAGGGGTGCGACGAGGTCCTGCAGCGACGGTGGCATGGCCGGGTTCTCGCGATGCATTGCCGCAACATAGTTCTGCAAGTTTTCACGGACTTGGAAGAGCACGGACGGCCACGCGCGGGAATGCGATTGGCGAAGCACAATCAAGTAGGCTTGCTGCAGTGCTTCAAATTCTTCAGCAACAGCTGCACCATCGTCAGCGTATTTGACGATGATGACGTCCATGGGCGATGGTCCGTCGGTTCCAGCTGGCATCGGCGAAGGCGGCGGCGTCTTACGTTTGCGAATGATGAAAGGCCGCGGCGCAGCTGGCGGTGGAGTTCCGAGGACTGGGCTGCCAGGGGTGGCGGGCGCCGCACGAGACTGTGGTGTCGAGGGCGTGGGAACACTTGCAGATCCAAGGGGGGCGCTATTGACATCAGCTGGCGCGTGCGCAGGTGCAGCAAGAGGAACTGCGGGTGGCGGCGAGGCAGCAGGACGCGTGTCAGCAGCGGGGGGCACCGCACCAAGCGGGGTGGAAGCGACAGCAGGTCCAGGTGTAGGTGCAGCTGCAGGCAAGGGCGTGGCAGCAGCAGCAGCGGCAGACGGGGGCGCCACAGTTGCCGAAGCAGGCGCTGGAAAGGCAGCCGCAGCAGCACGGGGCTTGGCAGCGGCGGACACACGACGCGGTGCCATGAGTGCGTAGATGAGCAAAGAGGCAGGCGATGCTTTGAACCAGGCTGCAATGCACGGAAATGTTGGCTGTGGCAAAAGATGTCGGGTCACCAAGGGAATCGGCCGTCTGGCTTGGGAAAGTGTCAGCGTGAACATGTACATAACGAGTGCTACTGAGGTAGACACCGCAACACGCAGGTGGAACGTCGCGTCGGCAACCTGGCACAGCAGGGAGTACAGGGTGGGGATATGTGGAGAAAGAAATGCGCAATTCTGTGTCATGTGCAGGACATGCGGGCGAGGATGGCTGCTTATAAGCCGAGATTTCGCGGCAGTGTCGTGAAAATGGACATAGATAATGGTATACCAACACATGCGAGAGAAAGAGTATCAAGGACCTGCATATGTCACCGCAGTGAGGCAACGGCGCAGTGCATGCTACGCGGGAGCTGTGAATCGCTGGGCGGCAGCGGAGCCCGAAGATCGGAAGGCACGCAGCTCCAGACACCTCAGTGAAACATGTGGCGAATGTGGCAACGGTCGTGTGCAAGAAGAAAAGTTGGGTATGGATATCCACATGTTCGATGGCTTGGACAAACGCGATTGCGAGCGAGCTGCGCTTTGATCTAGCGAACGCCCATCAACACCCAGGCATAAAAGTGCACGAAGCAGCGTGCGAGTGCGAAGTCGCAGAGAGAAGCATGCATGTCATAACACACGACACGTACAGCAAGAAAGAACGAACGAAAGAAAGAAAGAAAGAAAGAAAAGAAAGAAAGTAAGAAAAGAAGAAAGAAAGAAGAAAGAAAGAAAGAAAGAAAGAGAGAGAGAGACTGAGAGAGAGTTAGAGAAAAAGAAACAGAGCCCGCAAACCGTGGTGTGAAGCCTGCCGCATTGCATACAATCAGACAAAGGAAAAAAAAGAACATGATGGTCGAATTGAAGTCATGCATCCGAGGGTCAGAAAATTGGATACAGCAAGTGACATGGTGCGCACACACACACAGACACTGGCGCAAAGATGGTCGCAAATGTTTGCCGAAAACATAGATCTGGGAGCCGCAGGATGGCGATACCACAAAAAAGCATGGTACATGCAGCTATGAACAAGGAGGTCACACGGAGATTGGAAGGAAGACACGAGCAGCAACGTAGCCAGGAACGGTCATGCGTAAGGACGTTGTTAGGTAGACGGTGGCAACAATATGAACTTGGCATCGGAGAGCGAGCATGCGTGACCATTAGGACGCTGGTCTTCGACGGAGGTTGTCGCGTGCTGCAGCACCATGTTCACGATGGCTATGTGGTATGGGTGGGCATGACATTGCATGAAGTGTTGTAGGCAGCAATGTGTTGTTCGGTGTTGGTGTGTTGATCTGGAAGCAGACGGCGACGGTCGCAGCAAGAAGGGCGCTTGTTTTCCATCAAAGTCGCGGGCGCTTCGCGTCTGGCGGGGTAGCAGAGGCTTGCAGCAAGCGCTGCGTCACTAAGGCACGGAGCCCATGCCGGCGCCGCGCAGCAAGGAGACGGTCGACGCGCATCAACGTTGCTTGCTGCAGGTCTTCGAAGCGTGACAAGGCTGCAAGCAAAGCTGCCGGTGGCCCTGCAGATAGCGCTGCACGGTCAGGGGCCCGCAGAAGGAGCAAGCAATCCAGTGACGGCAGGCGGGATAGCAGCACGTAAATAGAGAGCCAATATTCGTCCTGAACGAAGGAGATTGGTGGGTATATGACTCAATTACGAAGGGTCTATTATGGGTTGAGAAGAAGTAGCGGCCACGTGGAAAGAAAGAAAAGGGGAACCGCTGTATGGCCGGGCAGAAGGAGGAATGAACCGAAACAAAAAGGAAGGAACGGAAAGTAAACAATGTTGCCAAGTGGCAGAACTCATTCGAGGCGGCAAGGCAAGATCCGCGATCATTGCCGGCAATGTGCGACCTTGTAGGTTGTATGCTGTGCAGGCGAATGTGTTGGTGCAGGGCAGCTGTCGCCGAGCAACACGAAGTGGCCCAGCGGTGACAGCAGGAAAAATGGCCGGGTCGATGCCTGGGATCTGTTCGGTCGGAAGGTGCGGAAGCGACCAGTCACGTGTGGTTGGCTCCAAGAACAATTCGCCTGGCTGCAGCAAGGGACTTTGTTGGAAGGTGGCATCAACGGCTCGCACGATAATGCCACGTGGCAGGTAGCGGAGGAGGTACGGTTCGAGATCCGGCTCGTACTGCGGCACGGGTTCGAGCTCGTGCAGCAAGATGTCAACGACCTCAACACGGCAACCACGCACGAGGCCATATTGCTGCGAGACGTTGGTTTCCAAACATAGCACTGTACCTGGGAACAAGAAGAGGTAGCCCGGAAAATTGCGGGTTGTGTTCAGCGACGCAATGTGCAGCAAATATTGCAAGATCGAAGGGTCTACAACTGGACGATGATCGGCGGACCAGCACCGGTCCGCAGCAGCACAAACAAGCAGCCGATGTCCGGCTACGCGGCTCATTGCTTTCGCACGTTGCAAGCCGATGAGGATGCGGGCAGCATGACGGAGGACACCAAAGCAAGCATCAGGGTTCCAAAAAACGGGCTCCTTCAGCCGGTGGTCAGACTGTCGCAACGTGCGATCCAGAAGCAGACGCCAAAGTCGGTCGGGTACATATCCATTGCGCATTGCAGCCAGGAACTCTTGAAGGGACCCGGAGGTGCGGTGGGTGTAATCAAGCACAACGCAAGTGGTGATGTTCTGCCACAGTGCAAGGCCCCGGACAGCATCTTTGTGGCGAGCACGAGCAGCCGGAGTTGCATGTTCAGGGGCTGCCGCAGAGGCTGGCAACAGTAAGGAAGTGGCTTTGACGGGCAACAATTGCAGAAAGTCGCCGCTGAGCAACACGGTCAAGCCCCCCCAAGGAATGCCCGGTGCGGCCTTGAGTTGCTGCGCGTGTAGCTCTGTGCCGCTCAGAAGTTCGGCGGACACCATGGAAACCTCATCTATGGCAAGAAGACCAGCTGCACGCCAAGCAGCGAGGAGTGTATCCTTGCGAGCAGTGGCTGCAGGCTTGTCCACGTCCGCGTTGAGGGCCAGTGCAGAGTGAAGTGTGCGGCCATCGATAAGGCGCGCGGCAGCATTGGTAAACGCACAGCGGCGGACGCTTCCAGGGTTGAAACGTTCTTCCAAACTCAATGCATATTGGAGAACATGTGATTTGCCAGTGCCGGGCCCCCCCAATAGAAGGAGTTGCTCGGGAGCTGGGACCTCGAAAGCGCCATGGCGTTTTGCATCGAGGCGATCCTGCGGTGCGGAAAGGTCAATTGCGAGGGACATAACCCAACATGCGGAGAAGATGTTGGCACTTAACGCATGTGACGGTAGGACAGTAGCAATTGAGGAGGCAGGAAAGGTAACGGAGTTATGCGGGTGGTGCCAAAGCGTTGTTACATGGATAGAGTGTTGGGTCGGGCAGGCAGATGGGCAGCAGCAACGGCAAACACCGCGGCAAGGAAAGCAAAGGTCAACAGCACAGCTGGGAAGAAGTGCGAGTAATGAAAACTACGCGCGGTTGCAGCACCATGGTGGGGGAAGCGGCACAGGAAGGCAGCAAAGAAAGGCAAAGTGTGGAGTGGGGCAACGTTATCGCGCAGAGTTCTGCTATGGTTAAGGGATTTGCTGGGTATCATCGATGCGACTAAGCGGACGACACGGAGCAATGGACCTAAGCTAGTTCACACAGGTGAGACGAGGCACTTGCAGGTTGAGGGCAAAGGTGACGAGGAACATAGCTTGCTTGCAGTTCAGCCCGCCGTCACGCTGGGCACAATGGCCGCGGAGGATGTGTTGCTCAACGAGATCCAAGGCGTCGATCGATGGCAAGGCATTGGAGGGGCATGGCGCTGGTGATGGGCCTGGAAGGAAGCAGTCACCGTCATCAGTTCCATCAACGTCAGCGAGCTGGAGCCAATGCCGTGCATCACGGCGTAGCTGGGTAACGGATGCCGCTGCCAAGTGGGAAGTCTGCGGGCAGTTTGGAAGTGCACTGTTGTCTGGAGATTGAAGATGGAGCAAGGCCTGGTCAACGGACAGCGCGTAAGAGGCTTGAGATGAGGTAGCACATGATATCTGCTGGGTCCTGGCACCAGCTGCCAAGCTGTCCCATTGCAGCGGGAAGCAGCGTTCGGGTGCCACGTCAAGGAAACGTAGCTCGTCAGGATCATCTGCCGCGTAGCTGTCATCAGTTGCAGTTTCATCGTCGGAAGCAGGGCCATTGTAGGTGAGGTCACCGCTTGTCTGCAACACATGCCCTGGGGCAGCTAGCTCGTTAATCAAAGGAGGATGACAAAGAATGGCGTCGGCATGCTCCAAGATGTGCAACGAGCCTAAGATAGGAAACTGGCCTGGGACAAAAGGTAACAATGAAATGGAAAAGCTATAGGGGGGCGAGTAACCATGCCAGGGAACGTTGCGCCCAATACTCACGCGTGAAAGGCGCGGCGCGAACACCTGCGGCTGGCGCAAGTTCAGAAAGCTGGGTTCTGAAAGCAAGCAGGGCAGCAGCCCACGAATCATGTTGAACACCATCCACGAGCAACAAATCTGACATGTCTGCGGAAGACCAAGGTTTCAGGAGCAGGAGCATGAGAAGGCTGAAAAGCGCGATGTCTTTGTCAGGAGCAGGCAACGAGATGCCTGCCAGCTGGGGAACGAACCATGCCTTGCAAAGGCGGATGCGCTGCACCATACGACCAGCATCAGGGTGAGCAGGGTCAAATGCAGCGTGCGCACGTGCACTCGTCGGTGAGGCGCAAGCCACCGCAGCGGTCAACGGCCGCAACATAGAAGTACAGCGGCCAATCGGCTAAGGCAGCGCCGCGAAGGAGATAATCTGTTTCTTGGTGGCCAGGAACGAGATCGACATGCTCAGGGGTGGCGTCAGCATGGTCAAGGTCATCGTTGGGTTCGGCAGCATCTGGGCGGCGAAACCAGAAGGCGCTTTCGGGCTCCATGTCTTGCAAGCTCGGGACCGGGATGTTGGTCAGGGCGCGATGGACCAGGTTCGTGGTGAACAACTTGCGAAAGCGGGCATTTGTGTATGCTTCTGGGTGATCGAGAAGGTAGTGACAGATTTCAGCCATGGATTTGTGACGACGTCGTTCAGAGGCAGTGAGCATTCGCATGATGGAACGAGAGGCGACATACCGCGGCTCCAGGGGATTGCTGTGCTCCGTGAGTTCAGTGTGCAACTCATCCAAGCCGCGACGAAGAAGAAGCCATAAGTTGGTCAGGTGCGGTTGGGTTTTGGTCATGTACGTTGTGATATAATGGGTTGCACGCTTGGTTGCTTCAGACATCTGGCTTGCGAGCGAGGCTATGCTGGTGTCAGCGACCATGTCGGTGGCAGGACCGCGAACTAGAAGGGAAACATCATGGTTGCAGCGGCAACAAGCAAGGATACCTGGCAGGGAGGTTAGCGCAAGGGCGGGCGGTAAAGAATGTGGATTGACCAATTGCACGGGAACATCTTGAAAAGGGGTGGAAAACGGCAAAGACCATCGGGGAAGAACTTACTGGCTGCGCTTTTACTTCGTTAATATGACCAGCTACTGCTAGATTAAAGTGGGGGAAGCAGTGTGTGAGCGCCAAGACGCCCAGAGAAGCAGGCATGTCATAACACATGTACAGATAGAGAGTTTATGTATAAAGCACACACACAGATGGAGCAGCACAACTGTTTGAAAAGGACGAGAACTAGGAGGTTATCAGGTGCAAGGAGATTGAACGTTTGTCGCATTGCATGCAAGTGACACCAATTGAACCGGGTATGAAAGGGATGGTGCCGCACAGAAAGAAGCTCTCCCACATTGTTTGGACTGTGGCCAATGGAGCAGCGGGCGCGGAGTTCCTTTCCATGGCATCGTTGCCAGGTATCCGCTTCGACCCATGCACTGACATCACGCCAATGCCAGAAGCCCAACCTGCAAAAACCATGGCGTCCCAACTTACCTTTGTGGCAAGTCTTTGGGCGACATTCATGCAAGCAGGAATGCAATGCCGCATGTCGCAAGTCAAAGAGGAGCATCTTTGTCCAAACATCTGCTGTGTGCGCAGGAGGCGGCAGGTACAACTGTGCGCGCGGCCATGGCAGAAAGGAAGACAACGAGTTAGCAGCATCATGGAAGAGGTCAAGCCATGGAGGCGTAGTTGGCAGCGGGTCCTCGGCAGCAGGGCACCAATGCGTGGAGAAGGTGTCAAAATCCCATGTAGCGCCCACATATTCCTGCAGCAACGTACGCTGCTTGTCTGGCAATGGGAGCGGCTGCAGGCCACGGAAAGTGTCCATGGCAGCTGGCACTTGCAAGACCGATGGCAATGGTTCCAAAGCTGTCAGCATGACGCTTTCGCTCCAGCGGAGCAGACGGGAAGCTAGGCATGGAAGGCTGGCACGGAAACGATCTAGGAGCGCAGCAGCGGTATGGAACCCATACAGGTGGATGAGCATGTGCAAGTGCAAGCTACCTCTCATCTGGGGCTCCGTGACGGCATACACAGCGCTGACAGGGCCAAAAATACCGCCACCGAAGCGCGTAGCAAGGCCGTCTGGAAAGGTTGCATCTGGGGAAACAGCAATGTCAAGCAGCTCCTCAAAGAAGAACACGATGTGTTGATGGAAGGCTTGTGCTGTTGCAATGGGATTGGTTGCGACAATATGTGCCAGATTAGCGGCTGCCAATGCGCTTCGCAAAGCACCATCTGGATCAACCTCATCCGGCGGTACCAAGCAACCAGAATGGGCATATTGCAGCGTAAAAGGGTGTTTCACGTGGGCAGGGTTGAGGGTAACAAACATAGCAGGCAGGCCGTGCCATAGCTGCAATGCTCGAACCTGGTGACGCATGCCGTCGCGAAATGCGTCAGTGCACGGTACGGAGCGAGCGACCAACTGCATGTTTTTCAGCACGACTTTCAAATGTGGGGGAATTGCAGCGTTGCCTCGTAAGGGCAAGGGATGCAAGGTGAAGGAGGCAAACGCACGAGCAAGGAATGCATTGAAATCGAACACCTGGGTAGGGGTATATAACTAAGCAGTGTAACGACTCGAAGCCAAGGCACGCAATGCATTGCGAACGGTGCCAGTCTCTCCAAGGACGTGCGCCAGCAAGTCAAAGTCTGTGGTAGTGACGCGGCCAAAGTCATGGGCTTGGCGCGCAAAACCTGGAGCAGAGATCTTCGCACGAACAGCTTGGAGAAGGTCTTTGCGATGAAGCACACTGAAGAGGGTTGCAAGAAAGTGGATATCTTCTGCCCAAGGACGTTCAGAGCCGAGCCGGTCGCGACGCAGGAGCAGGTGCTTGGACCATGCTTTCAAAGAAAACGGAGTCAGCCGTGCAGTAGCAGGCAGGCAGTCCCCGTAAGGGAAGAGCAGCGGAAAACACCATGTCCAGTAGGCAACATCAAAGGTGCTCAGCGGGGTCGCTCCATGGGGTAGTACCACAACAGGATGCTCAGGCTCAGATCCAGGAGACAAAGCTTCTTGCCGCAGATCACGGGGTAGCAGCCCCTCGCCTTCAGTGTCCAAGACTGCGGCGTTCAACGGCATGCCTGCGACAGTGGGCCCTTCTTGTTGTGCATCAGCGGGACCAACAGCAAGGCCAACATCGGCAGCGGCCGCACGAACACCAACGCCAGGCAACGGACCATCGGCTGGGAGGGATGCAAGGGCGTCAGCATCAACCAGAACATCAGCATAGAAAGGGTTGTGACGCACCAGCCACAGCAAAGCCTGGTGCACGCGGGCCCGAGAAACCATATATTCCGGGCAGGCAGCGAGGTTCTGCAAGCTTTCGTCTGGGAAGAGCACGGTCAGCACGTCAGAAGCCGCGGCAATGGAGCGAGGCAAGGACTCAAAGACTGTGGCACTGTTCTGCGGGAAGCTGATCGTATTCCCGCGTAGTGCACTTTGCCGGTCAGTGGGAGCTGTCGGGCCAGGCATGGTTTGGAGGCGGTGCACAGTGTAGCCGCGCGCTAGAAACAATTCATCTGCAAGAGTCAAGCCTTGAAGTTCGCCAGGTATGGGAAGTGCTAAGTTGCCATTGGCGAGGGCAGCGGGTGGCAGTCTTGGATTGTGACGCTGAAGATGAGCAACGCACTGGGCGCAAAGCGGCAACACGAGAGGTAAGTGCGTGGTGTTGGCAGCATGAGCCCACTCCGACACATAAGTACCACGGACGTGCAGGAGCCAGCCGTCATCCGGATCTCGTGGAGCAGCAATAGGACCATGTTGTTGCATGTGCGGCACAGGCACACAGACGGCGCGAAGCACGGGCCAAGGAATGCCAACGAAACTGGTGTTGTCGACAGGATAGCTGGCCTGAAGGCGAAGCAAGTAGGCACGTGCGGAGAACAAGGCATCCAACTGGGACAAATCTGCCAGATCGCGAAGATCCACGTCTGCGACGTCAACTGTGCGGCTGCCTGTCGCACAGCATGCACAAAGAGATTCTCGAGTGCTGACTGTCTGGTGGAAGCGGGCAGCATACCCCTCGACGATGTGCCGGAGGATGCGAGGCTGGATCGGAGCAGGCCAGGAGGATCCAGCCGCATGCAATAAGCTGGCACGGTAGGCGCACAAGCCTCCATGCTCTAAGAGGTGTTCTTGCCAAGCACTGTCTGTGAGGTATGCTGTATCGCAGAAGCGGCACCAGTATGGAGCGCGGGGAGCTGGAGAGCCAGAATGCAGCATAGCGAGACTGTCGTTGGGCACACCATCAGTGGCAAAATGCAATGGCTCGTGGGCAGCAGGCGCATTGCTGTAGTTCCGCTCGAGGGACACAAAGGCAGCGACATCAGGGATATGTATCGCAACAGCGGCGTCAGCATCGGAGCAGCACTGGCACCACGCCACTTGCATGGCGGCTTTGTCCACTGGCGGGTTTTGCAGGAGTGATTCTATAGGCGAGCAGCTAGTGCATTCGCGCGATCAACAACCATGCGCCAATCGCGACCATGAAGCCGACAAGAGAGTTGTAGTTGCGAAGGTGTGGGATCACACAGCTGCAAACAGGTGTGCCATATTCGTTCGAAGCTTCGGCGGGAGGCACGTGGGCCGCAAACGGATTCTGCACCACACAGCGTTTGTGCCAGACGGGTGAATTCGTCATACGGCCGGGCAATGTTTGAAGGGATGTTCCAAAACCGGTTCCATGCAAAGAATGCAGGTAAGTAGGCCGAGCATGGGACAATGAGACGCTGAAAACGCGAGCGAAGGTCAGCAACGGCCACCTGCTGGCCCCGAACTGCGGGTTCCGCGAGCAATTCCTCAATCGCCAGTGTGCAGTGGAAGAATGCTGGCAGTGGCACTTGGAGAGAAAAGCTGTGACCGCGGTAAAGACGTCGAATCTGGATCAGAGTGGTTTCCGGTGGCGGTGTGCTAGTGGAGACGACATAGCCGAGCGCATCCATGATGGCAGCAAACTGGCCATAGAGCAACTGTCCCCGCACCACGCTGTCCCGCTGATGCAACGAGGTGAGCAGAAATTCGAGCTCGCGGGCGCGGCTCACGGGACATCGCAGCGGATAGCGGCGATCGCGATAGACGGCGCAGAAAGTAGCCATGGGGGCAAGAGGACATCAGGCAGCCATTGTTGGCGGAGAAAACTAGGTGATGTGATTTTGAAGATACAAGGTAGTAAGTGTGTAGTGGGCAGAAGTGATGGCAAACCATGTGGTGCTTAGGTTGCAAAACAAAAGACCTGAGAACAGAACGTGGCCTATATTGGCAGATTGATATAATAGTCAGCTTCAGTCATGTTCATCTGAAATGGAAGAGCGGCGAGGATCCAAGCAACTGCAAAACATTGATGCATCAGTGAAACAGAAAAAGGAGACCTGAGCAGGTGGACATGGTGTGCTTACATGTAGCTACCGGCTGAAAGCTGCAATGAATGAACACGGGGAAGCAAAACCAGGTGAACGGAGCGTGCAGTTGCAAGAATGTGGCAGCTGGCAGTGTCCCTGTGAGTTCGAGGGCAGGATACGGAACAGCATAGAAGACTGAAAATTAAAAGCGGCGAAGTGCAGGTAGGGTGCCGGCAGGCAAAGCGAGGTACAGGCAGTAGCAGAGTGTAGCGTTTGCAAGCGCGCACGGCAAGCACTGGTTGAGGTAGAGGCGTCGGGGCGCAGAGCTAGCTAGGGAATGGGTGCATCGGGTGGAGGCGCGAGAATTGAAGACGAGCAGTGCGGAGGAACAGGCGTATCGGATGCAGGGGCAACACACCAAGGAGAAAGAAGCGTTCGCACCGAATCAAATCGCAAAGGACACCCAGAGGGACCAAATATCTCCAAGCGACCGTTCATGGACAGGCGGCGCAGCAGCAGCACGACGCCGATTGCGACCACGTAAAGGCTCGCCCTGCGATGACCTGCGGGAACAAAATATAAAGCATGTCATCTGGGGAAATCCGTTGCTTTCGCCAAGTTCGTTGCAGTGCTGCAAATGAACTTTGAAAAGACAGAAAGACTCATGTGTGGGTGCGCACTCGGTATTTCTTTTGTTTTACGGCTGTGCAGCAACAGGTCGGTTTGAAAAAAACGCACAGGAGTAAAAACGCTCTGTCATGTTTTACAGCTGCTGTATAGGCTTCAAAAAAACGCAGCAGGCGTGACAGGCAGAAGACCCCAAAGGGATAGATGCCCATGATGGCATCAACGACGCCGGTGACTGCTTCTGCTCCGCCGCTTCCTCTCATTATTGCGGCGCTTTCTCTGTTCAGACTCGCGCTTCTCAGTGGAGTGTGCCGCCGTGGTACCTGCAGAGACAACAATACCACAGAATGCGTCAACCAGGCGCTATGCTTGCATGCTTTCGACAATAAATCTAGCCTCTGCATCTGCAAGCCTCCGCTGCCGCACGCGGAGACGAAGGGCCAGGACGAGGAGGTAATGCATGCGCCGCCGCCGCCGTCGACGCTGTGAAACCCGGATGGCCTGGCGACTCTTCCTCGACTTCCTTAACTGTTTGTGAACAAGGCAGCAGGGGTGCGGAAAATCCGGTTCAAAAAAAGAGGCCTACGCAGTGCTATCCCACAACTGTGTATACCAAATTCACCAAGACACGACTTCGTTGCCAAACCCAGGTCCCGGCGGCCGGGCCGCAATCACGTCTGACGGGGGGCAGGGTGCATATGGGGGGCCACTTCCTGGCATCCACATCCAACATTGCACCCATTGACCGGTGGACCGGCCAGGCATGGCTTTCGCTTTCGGTCGTCCGGGCGGTACAGCGGGCTCTGGCGGCCTCATTTTGCCACCCTTCCCTTTACCCTCTGTGACATCCGGCTCATCGTCGTTCCCCTTGCAAGAGCCCTTGCTGCAGCCATCGGTCCCCTTGTAAGAGCCCTTATCCCCAATAGCTCTATAACGGTGCCGGCACCGGAGGCGCCGGACCGACAGGGCAAACCGGAGGTGGCGGCGGGGGCTCTGCAGGGGGGGGTCCTGGACGAGGAGGTCCAGGAAACCAACCCTTCCCTTTGCCTTTCAGCACGTCAAGGACGTAGGCCTGACAGCAGCAATCCGCAGGCACAAAAGCTGGGTTCCTCGAGATGGCCCAAAGAAAACATGTCTGCAGACAAGGTGCGGCCATCTGGTGCCATCCGTCGGCATGGCTATCGGAGTCAGACGCCGCGGACGCCATGATTGAATTGGGGCTTGAGCACGAAGGCAGCAGCAAACATCAGCGTGACACAGCGCATGCCCACCACGGCGGCAAAAATCAGGACGACCAGCACCACAGCACACGTCGCGCCTGAAGACATGCAACGTTGGGGTGTTGTCACAGCAGACCTGAAACACGGAGCACTCGGGAAGCAAGAAGTTGAAATTTGGAACGGGAGATCGCAAAGCGTAGCAGCACGCTCAGCAGTCCCAACGTGGAGAAGCTTCGGCACTGCCTCAGCCCGTCCATGTCGATGGGGTTGCCTCGCGGACTGGTGGGTGGGCCTTAACATCCACCATTGTGGCGTTGTCACAGCAGGCATGGCAACGGGCAACGGGCAACGGAAAAGGTTGAAGACGTGCAACGTCGGGGTGTCGTCACCGCAGACCTGAAACACGGAGCACTCGGGAAGCAAGAAGTTGAAATTTGGAACGGGAGATCGCAAAGCGTAGCAGCACGCGCAGCAGTCCCAACCTGGAGAGGCTTCGGCACTGCCTCAGCCCGTCCATGTCGATGGGGTTGCCTCGCGGACTGGTCGGTGGGCCTTAACATCCACCATTGTGGCGTTGTCACAGCAGGCATGGCAACGGGCAACGGGCAACGGAAAAGGCTGAAGACTTGCAACGTTGGGGTGTCGTCACAGCAGACCTGAAACGCGGAGCACTCGGGAAGCAAGAAGTTGAAATTTGGAACGGGAGATCGCAAAGCGTAGCAGCACGCTCAGCAGTCCCAACCTGGAGAAGCTTCGGCACTGCCTCAGCCCGTCCATGTCGATGGGGTTGCCTCGCGGACTGGTGGGTGGGCCTTAACATCCACCATTGTGGCGTTGTCACAGCAGGCATGGCAACGGGCAACGGGCAACGGAAAAGGTTGAAGACTTGCAACGATGGGGTGTCGTCACAGCAGACCTGAAACACGGAGCACTCGGGAAGCAAGAAGTTGAAATTTGGAACGGGAGATCGCAAAGCGTAGCAGCACGCTCAGCGGCCCCAACCTGGAGAAGCTTCGGCACTGCCTCAGCCCGTCCATGTCGATGGGGTTGCCTCGCGGACTGGTGGGTGGGCCTTAACATCCACCATTGTGGCGTTGTCACAGCATGCATGGCAACGGGCAACGGAAAGTGAACAGGTTGAAGACTTGCAACGTTGGGGTGTTGTCACAGCAGCCCTGCAGCACGGAGCACTCGGGGAGCAAGAAGTTGAAATTTGGAACGGGAGATCGCAAAGCGTAGCAGCACGCTCAGCAGTCCCAACCTGGAGAAGCTTCGGCACTGCCTCAGCCCGTCCATGTCGATGGGGTTGCCTTGCGGACTGGTCGATGGGCCTTAACATCCACCAATGTGGCGTTGTCACAGCATGCATGGCAACGGGCAACGGAAAGTGAACAGGTTGAAGACTTGCAACGTTGGGGTGTTGTCACAGCAGCCCTGCAGCACGGAGCACTCGGGGAGCAAGAAGTTGAAATTTGGAACGGGAGATCGCAAAGCGTAGCAGCACGTTCAGCAGCACCGAAAAACAGCATGGACTATCTTATTCCATGGGAATTTCAATCGTATCCGTCTTTCTCTGGATGTGATTGAAATTCATCGTTGACAGAGAAAATCCGTGGTTCATTTGTCGATGAACCGCGCGATGCATTGAAAACCAGAGTGGATTCTTTTGGGCAGTGGGAATTTCAACCAGATCCTTCTTTCTGTGGATATGTTTGAAATTCCGCGTTGACAAAAAGAATACGTGCCCTGTTTTTCGACGCATCGCGTGCTGCATTGAAAACCAAAATGGATTTTCTTATTCAATGAAAATGTATAACCACACGATCCACCGACAAACAACATGCAGCATCTTATTCCGTGGAGACTTTGAATCTTATCCGCCTTGCTCTAGATATGTTGGAAATTCCTCCTTGACAGAGAGAATCCTTAGTTGGCTTGTCGATGAATCGCGCGATGCATTGAAAACCAAAATGGATTTTCTTAGGCAATGGGAATTTCAACCAGATCCTTCTTTGTCTGGATATGTTTGAAATTCCGCGTTGACAAAGAGAATCCGTGCCCTGTTTTTCGATGCATCGCGTGCTGCATTGAAAACTAAAATGAATTTTCTTATTCAATGAGAATTGTAACCAGATCCTTCTCGGTCAGGATATGGTTAAACATCCTTAGTAAGCACAGCTCCTTGGTCGTTTTTCGATGAAGCGCACCATGCACCGAAAAACAGCATGGACTATCTTATTCCATGGGAATTTCAATTATATCCGTCTTTCTCTGGATGTGATTGACATTCATCGTTGACAGCGAAAATCCGTGGTTCATTTGTCGATGAACCGCGCGATGCACTGAAAACCAGAATGGATTCTTTTAGGCAATGGGAATTTCAACCAGATCCTTCTTGATATGTTTGAAATTCCGCGTTGACGAAGAGAATCCGTGCCTTGTTTTTTGATGCATCGCGTGCTGCATTGAAGACCGACTTTCTTATTCAATGAGAATGTAACCATATCCTTCTCGGTCGGGATATGGTTAAACGTCCTCAGTGACTAAGCACTGCTCCTGGGTTTGTGGAATCGCGCGATGCATTGAAAACCAGAATGGATTCTTTTAGGCAATGGGAATTTCAACCAGATCCTTCTGGATATGTTCGAAATTCCGCGTTGACAAAGAGAATCCGTGCCCTGTTTTTTGATGCATCGCGTGCTGCATTGAAGACCAAAAAGGCTTCTTATTCAATGGGAATGTAACCATATCCTTCTCGGTCGGGATATGGTTAAACGTCCTCAGTGACTAAGCACTGCTCCTGGGTTTGTGGAATCGCGCGATGCATTGAAAACCAGAATGGATTCTTTTAGGCAGTGGGAATTTCAACCAGATCCTTCTTTCTGTGGATATGTTTGAAATTCCGCGTTGACAAAAAGAATACGTGCCCTGTTTTTCGATGCATCGCGTGCTGCATTGAAAACCAAAATGGATTTTCTTATTCAGTGAAAATGTATAACCACACGATCCACCGACAAACAACATGCAGCATCTTATTCCGTGGAGCCTTGCTCTAGATATGTCGGAAATTCCTCCTTGACAGAGAGAATCCTTAGTTGGTTGACAAAGAGAATCCGTGCCCTGTTTTTCGATGCATCGCGTGCTGCATTGAAAACCAAAATGGACTTTCTTATTCAATGAGAATGTAACCATATCCTGCTCGGTCGGGATATGGTTAAACGTCCTCAGTGACTAAGCACTGCTCCTGGGTTTGTGGAATCGCGCGATGCATTGAAAACCAAACTGGATTTTCTTAGGCAATGGGAATTTCAACCAGATCCTTCTTTCTCTGGATATGTTTGAAATTCCGCGTTGACAAAGAGAATCCGTGCCCTGTTTTTCGATGCATCGCGTGCTGCATTGAAAACTAAAATGAATTTTCTTATTCAATGAGAATTGTAACCAGATCCTTCTCGGTCGGGATATGGGTAAACATCCCTAGTAAGCACAGCTCCTTGGTCGGTTTTCGATGAAGCGCACCATGCACCGAAAAACAGCATGGACTATCTTATTCCGTGGGAATTTCAATTATATCCGTCTTTCTCTGGATGTGATTGACATTCATCGTTGACAGCGAAAATCCGTGGTTCATTTGTCGATGAACCGCGCGATGCATTGAAAACCAGAATGGATTCTTTTAGGCAGTGGGAATTTCAACCAGATCCTGCTTGATATGTTTGAAATGCCGCGTTGACAAAGGGAATCCGTGCCTTGTTTTTCGATGCATCGCGTGCTGCATTGGAAACCAAAATGGACTCTCTTATTCAATGAGAATGTAACCATATCCTTCTCGGTCGGGATATGGTTAAACGTCCTCAGTGACAAGCACTGCTCCTGGGTTTGTGGAATCGCGCGATGCATTGAAAACCAAAATGGATTTTCTTAGGAATTTCAACCAGATCCTTCTTTGTCTGGAAATGATTAAGACGTGCCAACGTCGGGGTGTCGTCACCGCAGACCTGAAACACGGAGCACTCGGGAAGCAAGAAGTTGAAATTTGGAACGGGAGATCGCAAAGCGTAGCAGCACGCGCAGCAGTCCCAACCTGGAGAGGCTTCGGCACTGCCTCAGCCCGTCCATGTCGATGGGGTTGCCTCGCGGACTGGTCGGTGGGCCTTAACATCCACCATTGTGGCGTTGTCACAGCAGGCATGGCAACGGGCAACGGGCAACGGAAAAGGCTGAAGACTTGCAACGTTGGGGTGTCGTCACAGCAGACCTGAAACGCGGAGCATTCGGGAAGCAAGAAGTTGAAATTTGGAACGGGAGATCGCAAAGCGTAGCAGCACGCTCAGCAGTCCCAACCTGGAGAAGCTTCGGCACTGCCTCAGCCCGTCCATGTCGATGGGGTTGCCTCGCGGACTGGTGGGTGGGCCTTAACATCCACCATTGTGCCGTTGTCACAGCAGGCATGGCAACGGGCAACGGGCAACGGAAAAGGTTGAAGACTTGCAACGATGGGGTGTCGTCACAGCAGACCTGAAACACGGAGCACTCGGGAAGCAAGAAGTTGAAATTTGGAACGGGAGATCGCAAAGCGTAGCAGCACGCTCAGCGGCCCCAACCTGGAGAAGCTTCGGCACTGCCTCAGCCCGTCCATGTCGATGGGGTTGCCTCGCAGACTGGTCGGTGGGCCTTAACATCCACCAATGTGGCGTTGTCACAGCATGCATGGCAACGGGCAACGGAAAGTGAA